TGAACTCGAGATGAAGAGATGGGAAGTCCAACTGATGCAGCTCCACCATCCCAGCCTCATACCTTTTATCGGAGAGCAATGTGCTGGTGTGCATGGTACTAGCCACCCACCCTCTCGTGTGCCATGCCAGCCTTAATAAGTGCTCGTTGAAAGCACTTGCCCCGAAAGTCTGTTAAGGTTTTAAAGGAACCTTTGTCTCTGTCTGTGTGAGTATGGGAGTGCACGGGTGTACATGTGGGTGTGCATTTGTGTGTGTCTTTAGGTACGTGTAAGCGTGAATATGTGTGCATGTGTTTGTCTTGGTGTGTGTGTAGATGCAACTTTAGCTAAAGCACAGCAAGTTGGTACAGTAGGGGGCACAGGTGGTGCATCAGCCAGTCATCTCGGTCATCTCGGTCAGTCGACCCGTGGCACCTGGGTCTGCCCCGTGACCTCCTGCCAGCGGGCGTTCGACACTTCACGTGGCCTCAAGGTGCACTTGGCCTGGCACAAGCATCGTGGTGACGTCACCGCCACTTAGTGGCGAATGGCGGTTGTTGTTGTTGTAGATGCAAAAGCAGTCTTGGGCCTTCCCTAGATTGACACAGCGTCAAATGAGTACCTGGTGTAGTGTGTAAACATCAGCACTAGGGTGACAAAGGCGGTTAGGCGTGATATTGGTCACCCACCCCATCATGTGCCATAGGCCGGCCCTCATAGATGCTCGCTATGTCACAGGCTTTAAAGGGGCTCTTTGTCTCTGTGTTGTGTGTATGTAAATGTACACACATTTGTCTTTGTATGTATCTGTGAACGTACGTGAGCATGTGCCTATTTTCGTAAGTGTCCATATTTGCACATGTACGTACGAACACACGTGTAAATGTGTCTTTGTCTTTGCATGTGTATAAATACGTGTTTAGGTGCATGTGTGTATACTCTAGTATGCGTTCGCATGGTTGGCTACATACGGTGCGAAAGAAGTTCAACATACATACGTACAAGCGTGCATGTGTGTATATGCGTGTGTGTGTGTGTACGTCATCTACAGGTCCAAGCACAGTGGAAGCAGCGTTCAATAGAGCGGCCCTTTAAAGCTCACTCCCCGCGGATTTGACACAATCGTGCACGCGGAGGGAATGATAATGGGTTAACCCTGCGTGTGCGTGCATGCGTACGGCATATCCATATACATACCAAACAGAACGCTCGTGTCAAGTGCTTATGTACGTGTGTAGATATGTGTGTCATTGTATTGTTGTATACGTGTATGTACGCGTGTACATATACACACGTACATGTGTTTGTTGTGCATGTACATCCATGTACATGGCGATCACAATACATGTGGAATAACAAAGGGCTGTATGTATTCTCTATGCATAGACATACAAGTATGTGTGTGTGTACAGCAGCCACATACAGAATACATACAAAATTAAATGTTTATGCTGTTGGTTGGCATTTGGTTATGTTTGTGTGTTTATTAAATGGTAATATAATTGTACTGTATGTGTGTCAGGATATTATGTACAGTGTGTCAGAAGTGAATCGGCTTAGTCTTGTTGGCACGTGTGTGTCATGTGAGGATCTCAAAGCAGGTTGCTTTAGACACCATCTTAAATGCATGTAAATGTACAGCGCTATTGTTAATCCACTGCTGGATGAGGAGCCTCCCACACATTACCCCACTCGTCAGTGCGGGTTGCTGAAGACAGGCAGGCAGCATAGACGTGGGAGCATAGAAGTGTAATAAAGGACTCGACCACGATGTCTGGCTTGGCGTCCTTTATTCGGTTCTTCTCTCTTAACCCGCACGGCTGTCCTTCTATAAGACTCTATACTGACACTGATACTGCTCTCCTGCGGTTTCTCCCCTCGTCGTTCTCTCAGCCTCTCTCTCCTCTCGTCGCTCTCGTAGCCTCTCCCTCACACACAGCCTCGCCGGCTGTGTTCCCCGCAGCTCCTCGTCCGCCTTCTCTCCAGCCGCCCCACCGCTGTCTTCTCTCGCAGCTCCGCTGGCTGCTCCCTTAGCTGGCCACCGCTGGCCGCCGCTGCCACCCCTTGGCTTTGCCCACGTGGCCTTACTCTGGTCCAGTCCCACTCGTTCTGCCTTCCTCTTCCGGTCTCCTCCCTTAAGAACCTTAACCTTTCCTCCCACGTCACCTAACTCCACCTCTCCGTGACGTCACATCCGGGAGGTCGCCCGCGCCCGCATTACACCACCCTCCCCCGTGGAGAAAAACCCAGCCGACCTCGGCTGAACAACACCAACAGTAATGCGGGCGAACCCGAGCGTAACACACCAAAGGACACCAAGCATGCAATATAACAGTAAGAACAATCAACACAACTCAACAATCAATAACGTAGCAGAAGCAGGCAATAAATACACAGTAAGAACAATACAACATAACAATCAACGAAACACAAGGGATTTAGAGCGTGTGCGGGTCGCCGGCCCGTCCCGGACGGTCGGCGGCCCATCCGCGGAACGGGAACGTGATTGAGTTTGAGGAGCGACAGGGTGAAATCCCCCTGTCGCTGTTGGAAGTCCACCAACGTCCCGTGTCCTTGAAGGATCAGTCTTGGGCTTGTCCCGCGGATGCGTCTGCAGCGGGGTCGGAAGGGCTGCAGGGCTCGAAGGACCCGCAGATCTGGCAGGCACCCTCCGAGCAGAGCGCCTCGTCCCCTCCGGCGTCAAGGCCGGCCTGCCTGGAACAGGTACGACAGGCGCTCTAGCAAGATCAATGGACGCAGGCGGGGGAGAGTCGGCAGCAACAGACCCCGGCACGGTGGACGAACCCGTAGCGGCCGCAACAACCCTCCGTGCCAATTTGCGCCACTGCGTCACAGAGCGACAAGGCCCCGTCGAAGGTCCCTCTTTAACAACAACACTATGACCGCACAACGAAGGTGATGGGTGAGGTGTAAAGCCTTGCCGGGTGTCTGGTGCGTGCCGACTTGCCTGTTTCGGTGGATCCTTGGGCGGCTTGGCCGGTAATGAGGCCTCCTGTTGTGGCGGACCCGGGATGCGGGCCCAGCAGTCCTTCGCGTAGTGGCCCTTCCGTCCGCAGCGGAAGCAATCGGCGTCGTTGCGCCGAAGCGCAGGCCTTGCATCGCGCCGCCCGCGTATCGGCGGTGCAGCACGAGAGGCCGGTCCACCGCGGCCTGACCATGGCACCGAGGCGGCCGTCAGCTCCTGAGGGCCCCGCTCATCCGGCACGTATACCGACTTCGTAGGGTCCCAACCCAGAGCGCCACCCTCCGCGTCGGGCCCCCCTGTCCACGCCGTGACCTGTTTCCATCGTCGTAGGTTGAATTGTGCATCCAGACATTTCGCCGCCGCCCGGGAGGTGAGCTTCTCATGCCCGCACACCGGCATGGGAATCCCAAGATCCCGCGACAGCTCGAGCATCTTGCCCAAGATGAGAGGCTCGAGCAGGTCAGGTGTTGTATCTGGATACGCGGCCATAGCCAAATCAAGCACTGCACCCCTGTACGCCACAGGCGACTCCTCGGGCGCTCGTTGTCGTTGAGCGAATCGCCGATGCGCGTCGTCAGGTGGCTCGTAGGCGTCGGCCATTTCTTGAAAAACTCCATATAATGTCCTCTTCTTCTCGGCCTTAATGGAGCGAAAAAAACGAACAGATTCGTCGTCCAGAAGAGTCGGCAACACTTCCAAGGCCTCAGCATCGGTCCATCTCGCAGAACGGACCGCCGCTAAAAATCTGCAGGCGAAAGCGCTCCAGTCGCCCCCAATGGCGAATTCCTTGACCGTGGTGAGATGGCGACTCCGACTTCGCTTCACTCCGCCCTCCGCCGATGGTTCCTCCGGAGGCAAATTCAAAATGGCGTCGAATCGCGGCGTGGTCAAGATGGCGGATTCCCGCCGCGGCACGCGCAAGATGGCGGCCTCCTGCCGCGTGGCCCATGGCGCCGGGAGTGAAGAACCCGTGGCGGCCTGTGGAGCACTCTCCGCTCTCTCCGTCGCCGTGCTTGGGGTGACGAGATGACACAATTGGCCCAGGGCGTCCTTGAGAGTCTCCAGTTGCTCAGCCACCTGCAGCCATCGCCGATCAGCGTCTGATGGTGTCGGCGGCCCTGACACTGTGGCTACATCTTCCACTCCCGTCCCCGCACTCGTTTCAGCAGGGCTCTCCTCCACCACCCTGGCAGGATCCATGTTTGGAGGGAAGTCTTCGTCTTCCGACGAAGAAGCCGATGCCGGCGCTGGAACATTTTTCTTTCTCACTTGTTTCGACATGCCGTTGCACTTCCGACACCAATGTAATAAAGGACTCGACCACGATGTCTGGCTTGGCGTCCTTTATTCGGTTCTTCTCTCTTAACCCGCACGGCTGTCCTTCTATAAGACTCTATACTGACACTGATACTGCTCTCCTGCGGTTTCTCCCCTCGTCGTTCTCTCAGCCTCTCTCTCCTCTCGTCGCTCTCGTAGCCTCTCCCTCACACACAGCCTCGCCGGCTGTGTTCCCCGCAGCTCCTCGTCCGCCTTCTCTCCAGCCGCCCCACCGCTGTCTTCTCTCGCAGCTCCGCTGGCTGCTCCCTTAGCTGGCCACCGCTGGTCGCCGCTGCCACCCCTTGGCTTTGCCCACGTGGCCTTACTCTGGTCCAGTCCCACTCGTTCTGCCTTCCTCTTCCGGTCTCCTCCCTTAAGAACCTTAACCTTTCCTCCCACGTCACCTAACTCCACCTCTCCGTGACGTCACATCCGGGAGGTCGCCCGCGCCCGCATTACAGAAGTATAGCACAATCATTTATTTGTATGCACTTCCCTCTGCTGCTCACCACATTGACCACGGCCTATAACAAGCTGCTGTGCATGGTGGTAGCACATCGGGCACTATCCAGGCTCAACCCCACACTATAGGTGCTCACTCTTGCAGATTATACTGCCATAGCACCACGCGCTGTAGGGCGCAGTGTCCGTATGCAAGTTGACATCTCTCTACTTGCACGTGTTGAGCGTATGAGTGAGCGCGCGTGGGTCCCCGTACCGGGCGCTATGGGGACGGTGTCGCGCTCCCACGCCGTCACCGTCACGTATGACGTTACGTAGGACGGCACCACGCAGCGGAACACGGCCGTGGATCCACGCATCGCCTTCTGGTCCTCGAGACGAACCGTGTACGGCTCCCGCAGCACTGAGACGACACGGGGACACGGGAACACGTGGGTCACGGGGACTCGAGATTCACGAAGATGTGGGAGTCATGAGCCAAAGGGGTCATGGGGAATGGGACGACGCACAGGAGACATGGGAGCCACAGGGAGACATGAATTGGCAAGGGAGATATGAGGACGTGAGCGATCGATATTTGTGAGGACACAGGTTTCATTGAGACGTGGGGAATGTGAGAGTCAGTGGGACGTGGGGACATAGAAGGTATTGAGCACAAGGGGAACACAGGAGACACAGGAGACGCAGGGAGTCATGGACCCACAGGGGACATGGGAGACGTGGACATGGGGTGTCAAGAGACACGGGGAACACAGCAGTCAAAGGGAGACTGATGAAACAGCAGAAACAGAAAACAGGAGTCACGGGAACATTGGAGTCATGGGGAAAAGTGACACCAACAAGTCGCGGAGACAAAGAGGGCATGGGGAACACTGAAACATAGGTACACAAGGGCATTAGGAGACGTAGGACACCTTGACGAGAGTAACCATGAGAACACGCGGACATGGGACAGTGAGCGTAGAGGAGACAGGAAGAGGGACACAGACAGGGGACTACAGGTATTGGGGATGGAGAATTGAGAACTCAACAGCGACTGCGAGGACAATAACAATGGAGGAGAAGCAGTGCCCAGGGTTGGTAGTCAAGGGCGCGGAGACGACCAGCCACAGGAAGGCAGAGCGAGCATCTGAGCGAGGGGTCACAAGTCACAACCTCACCTAGATGGGCGAGCAGCGGGATTTAGGTAGATTTAGGTTGAGTTCGATCCACATTAGAATTCGATCACCACGATCCCTATATTAACTTGGGCCGCGATTACTGTATTCAGATATAGCGTATCCACTTTGCTTCAAGTGATTACGAGGGCAAAAGGGAATGGAGGACACTGATTTATACAGCCCTCCCTACATCCACTCTGCTGTGCTTATACCTCCTCTACATTCACCCCTTGCAAGCCCCAACTTAACTGCTAGCCCCAAATCTATTCTACTCACATCCCCCGCTCAAGTATATATAATGCAATACAACTGTGGATGTATATAGTGAATAAATGTGACCACATGTGATGATGTTGCACAGACTCAAGGGGAATATTTTTTTTATAGATGCTGTCAGTCAGATTCCAAAGAACACAGGATGAGATGTTACTATCCTTTGTGCAAGCACTTCCAAGAGTTCATGAACAGTGAGCCTGGTGAAATTTGGGGAGCGCATCGTCAGTAGTGACCCTTTGGTTCCTAGGGTGTTTCGGCCTTTCATACTATACACCCTCCCCAAAGGCGGCCAGCGACAGGGTGATCAATCCTACGCTTGCGTCCCATTCCCAATTAGTCATAGGAGTTGCCTTGTTGTTGGTAGCCAACATCCCATGGGACTATGCATGGCAGGGGCGTCCTCCTCCCTGAGTCAAGCATTGTTGACTGCATACCTCCTGGCCCTCTCACTTTGGGGCCCAGCTGGGGTCTTTCCTCTTCATCCAGAGCCACTGACTGCTGCCTTCTGCCGCCTCCGATACAGCTTTGATTGCCGAACGCTGGCTCTGGCCCTTAATTCCCAGGTCTCTAAGCAGTCTGGTTGTAGATGTTGCCACAAAACCTCTGCAGCCCACCTCCACTGGTCGGACTTCTGTGTTCCAGCCATGATGCCGTGCTTCGGCAGCTAGATCGGCATAGCGCAGATGTTTTCGCTCATAAGCCTCATCTACTGAGTCCTCCCAGGGTACTGTGAGCTCAATGATGAAGACCTTCTTGAGCGAACGGGACCAGAGCACCACGTCAGGTCTTAGGGTGGTGGTTGCGATCTCCGGAGGAAACACAAGTTGCCGGCCAATGTCAGCTAGCATTTTCCAGTCGCGGGCCAAGCGCAGCTGGTCTCGCTCTATTGGTGTAGAGCCGCTCTTCGGTGGTTTAGCCCCTTCGCGGACAAAGGTCGTCCGTAAGGGGTGTGATGCTGCTGGGGGTGGTAGGGAGTTGGTGGCAGCTCGCTTGTCCTCCATGGCGGACGCAAGGTTTTTAAGGACTTGGTTGTGACGCCAAGTGTAGCGTCCTTGGGTGAGGCTTGTTTTACACCCTGTGAGAATGTGCCTGAGGTATATAGGACAAATGAAGGTCGTGAATTTTGGACTTTAACAAATTGCAGGAAGTCAACAGCACAGATGGCTTAGAGAAGGAAATTCCAGACTATTCAGGCAGCAGAGGAGAATGAGTGAGATGAGAGGAGAGAGGGAGGCAGGACCTCAAAATCTATCCTGGATTGGATTGGGAGCCCGTGTTGGCCATGAAGTATTGGGGTCACGTGATTCTATTTACAGTGACGGTGAGAAGTCTGGCAATGGAATTTTGGATCACCCAGAGTTTTGAGATGAGGGCCTTATGGATGCTGTAGAGAAAATACGTGCAACAGTCCAGTTGGGATGTGAAGGCAGATGCAGGAGATGTTGCACTGAATTGAGAAGTGAGAATGACAAATCCAAGGTTTCACACATCAACCACACTCTCATCTACTCACACCCTGGACACTACCTGCATACCCACTCTGCTGTACTATCACGCTATCACCCACACTCCACTCTCACATCTCCCGGCCTGCTCTGCAGCACGGAGTTTACCGGCGGTGATGGCGAGGTCTCTGCTGCGCACACGCCCCGCCGGGTTCTGCGCCGTGCAGTAGCAGGTGGAGCGGTGCGCACGTGCCGTATACGCTGCCGCCGCAAATGAGCTCATCATCAGCGTGCCGTTGGGGTGGACCCTGCGCAGGCCCGGCACGTCATCCAGTGCCACCGCCTTCCTATCGACACTGCTGACTCCCATCGTTCCATCCCCACCGCCTCCTGCACCGACGCCACCGCCTCCGCCGCCGCCGGCACCACCAGTGTCTTTATCTCCGTCAACATCGTCCCCGTCGCTATCTCCGTCATCATCGCCATCGTCCCCATCCTCATCACCGCCGCCGCCCCCCCCGCCACCACCGCCGGACGAGCGGTACGTGAACCAGCGGCGCTCGGCAAGCGGGGCTCCGTTGGCAGGGCATGTCACGGACGCACCGGTCGCCGACGAGAACACCAGGGAGGCGGCACGACCCGGTAAGGACCACGGGGAGGACGCCGATGGAGACGCGAGTTCATCCTCGAAGAACAACGTTGACCGGACGCTCGTGTCGGACGCTGGCGCCGATGGGAGTGGGGGTGAGGGAATAAAGACGGGCAGGGAATGCATCATAAGGTCGCACATGCACACGTGTGATCGCATCGGTGCTGGTGGATACATACCTGCGGGCAGCACCCTAAAAAAGTTGTAAACTGGGCAATTTTCACATTAAATATAAATGTGAATTATGCATGACATTTTAATGAAATGAGTAATAATACGTAGAGCAATTTTGCAGAACAACTTGGGCTTGTATTGCGCGTATGTGGGAAAGGAGCAGTCACGTAACCCTTGCGGTCCATGAGGAGGAGCTCAGTAAAGTGTACCGCGAATATATAGTATGTAGTTTTCACTTTTTCTGGGATAAATATGATATATATTTTTGAAATAAATAAAGTTTTTCAAAGATTTTCATTGGGAAACTTTACCGTGTTTGTAAGACCCAGCTTTTTGTACAGTACTGTAATCCCAGGCTTTTGTGCAATCATTCACAGTAACATTGCATTTATGGAAATTACTCGTGACTTAATGCTAATGTTGCAGTTTTCTTCCTGAACTTACATTTTAGTCACATACTGTCCAAATTGGAGAGTAAAAGCCCAGAAAAGCATGTGAAGCAACTGCTTGTAGGCATAATATCCAATATAGCATAACAGGACTGGTGATATTTGCAGGTATTAACATACCATCATCACAATCACAGAAGTGTATTTCATGACTGGGGTCACACTTAACTTTGTTTTGTATTAATAAGTGTTGTGAATTAAAAAGCACTTTGGAAAATAGATAGTCTGGATAGACATGAATATGACCTAGATTTGAAGTTTCCGTGACTGCAAGGATTCATACTCTTCGGTTTTTTCGATAAAGTCACGTAAGCACAAAATTAAATGAAGAAAAAAAAACGAAATTAAATCACGACGTTTCGGAGGTAACACAAGCTTCCGTCTTACCTACGTGACTTTATCCGAAAAAACCAAAGAGTATGAATATGACCTTCAAATAAAATGTATGCAGTTGCAAACAGGATACTCATTTATGCCTTAATATTTTGCTGAATACACTCATTAAGGACACAAGCCGGGTGGCGGTGGTTATGCACGTCGCTTGTAATCCAGCACTATGGCGGCAGCGAAGGTTGGTGGATCGCACACAAACGATGTGAAAATCTCTTCCCGTGGGCGTCGATGAGCTATACCCTGGCTCACCAGGAGAAGGCAGTACAGCAAGTGGCCTAATCGCCATCTGTTTACATCTGTATGGGGATGGAGTGTTGCCTCCTCATGTGCGTGGGTTTTCTCCTGGACCTCCGGTTTTCTCCCACGTGTATAAACACTCGCTATTAATTGGCTAAAAAAACATCTTAAAATAAAAAGTGAATGCTAGGCCCTCCTGAAAAAAAGTCATACAACTCAGTGTGGCTTTCCTGGATAAATAAAAATATTATAAAGTGACTAATCCTTCCCACATGATCGCGCATCCTCTGCTGTGATTGTTAAAATGGGTTCAATAAAAATATATATTGTAAAGTGAATACATTTTAAGTGAAAATGTGAAGTGAACAGCTCCATGTTACGGATCCTATCCAATCAGTTATAATCAGAATACTGCTCCATGAATAACACATCACAGCACACAATGCAAGTAGTGGCTGCTAAAAAGAAACAATTGAGTTTTGGAAAATGGATAAGTTGTTACATTTTTGAGAATATTTTTTTTTATGAAAAAGACCGAGTTACATTTCCTTCGCTTGTAATCAAAAACCCAGTTAGCGTCATGGCAACACAAATGTGTTTTTACATTTCTGTATGTGTTCCTTTATCGCATGTTTGCTTGCTCTTCTGCCATATTTATTTAACCGAAGATCTTCTTTGTAAATAAGTAAATAAGAATCCTCGTGTCAATGGGGGCCCCATACTTGGTCATAAACAAATGTCAACTATCTAAATATTTTTTTCTGTACTTGCATGTATGCAAACGTCTATTTTTTTTTATCTAGATCTGTTTGTGCATGCAAAAGTCTGCTGGGTTGACAAAGCACTGTAAAGTATTTTTTTAACTGTGTGCACATGTTGACTTTCCTCTCGAAGAGGGGCTTTAATTTGGTTGCTGCATCGTACTTATGAGCCATAATAAGAGTATAACCAGTCTAGGGTTGTCTCATTGTACTTCTGCTGCTTAAATTCAATAAAAACACAATCTCAGCAATTTTAAGCTGGTGGTCATCACAAGGCTGTGTGCAGGGTGTGTGCAAGGAATGGTGATGCCATCTGGACATGCAAATCATGCTGAGATTCCTGTGGTTTTGAAGACATTTCTGCCAATATGCTATCAATTGTATCCATGTGCGTGGGCATATTTGTCTACTCGGTATTGTCTGCACTCATGTTCATGTGTGTATGTCACTGTTTCTATAAACGTGTTCCTTTGTGCACACGCGCTTATACTCTTTTGTTATTTTCGTGTGCCGTGCTGGCTAACAGCACTTGTCCCAACAGCCTGTTGAAGGCTACAGGGGGGACCTTTGTCTTTGTTTGCACACACGTGTGTGTAATCCCGTGTCGCGATGTGTGAGCTGCTCTCTCACCGATGACGGCCGGCGCGAGGAGCAGAGTGCACACGAGGGGAAGCATGGCCGTCACCTGTCATTGCATGGGCCAACAAGGGCCAGAGGGGCCGGGGTGGGGGGGAGACAGGGGAGGGAGAACAAAGAGGGATTACAGAAGGAATTGTGGAAGGGTGCACATGAGTTATGATGATGATGATGATGAAAGAGTGACGCAGTGATTCAAATAAAAACAAAACAATTTATTTGGTGATGCTTCATTGGCAGTGATGCACACGTTTAATTAACAAACGAAAACTATCTCAACACATACGTCAATGACACTGCCTTAACATAAATAAAATATCGATAATATGCAACGTTTTGGGCAATGTCCATTCTTCACAGCATATAGCGAGGCTAGGAAGATAGAGTTAATCAGGATAAAACTAGGTTTGTCAAGGGAATGGAGGTGAGAGAGGAGGGATTGAGTGATCAGGAAGACTTTGAAGTGGAGGAATTTGAAGTGAAGCAATGCATGGAGTGAGCAACAATCACCATCTCTGAGCAGAATGTTTGCCAGCTATGAACACAAGTAGTAGCTGAATGAAGGAATCATAATTAGTGGCTCCAGGTAGACTTCAGTTAGCCTAATTGTCCAAAAGGCCCAAGCTTGTGTAGACGTGGCCAATGAAGTTGACTTCCTTTTTCCACGTTTACTCAGGATATACAAGTAAATGAATGGAAATCCCCAGTGCAAAGACTTAAGTCTTGAATTTTAAAAGTTTCAGTATATAATTATAATTTAGAGCACAAAGTCTTTCAAAGTGTATGACCACGGGGGGATTCATGCGATAGCACACTGAATATCTGGATGCACAAACAAGACGGGAGGAATGAGTCAGTGTCGCAGAGCACAAGAAAGTTATTTTGATTTGTTCAGCAAGTGGTACAAGCATCTTCCAAACAATTGCGGTGCTAAACGACACATGGCAAACCCATAAATGTGAGAAAGGGCCTGTGCTTCCAGACTTGTGTAGCTTTGGTACACTGCATTTTTATGATTATATTGAACACTGCATTATTATGACCACATTTGTACTGGATATAGAGATGGACGCGACTACTCATCACCGCTAATGCAGGAAAGGAAACTGAGCCTCTGGTAACTACCGTCCCCGCAGATTTGTATCTAATCAAAGACCAGACTTTCGTACAATCACAGTCCTTCTCCTTGGGTTGTGCTTAGCCGTTAGCGGTCCTTTCCAATTTCTGCTTCTGTAGCTTCAGCTGATGACACATGAAGGGATGTCGTTCTCTATTTCTGGTGCTATGGTTAGGGTTTTATGGTGATAAGGATGAGCGTTAGGGTTTAGGTATTAAGGTTGTGGGGTAAGCAGTAGGATTTAGGATTCCAGGTTAAGGGGAACTTAGGGTGATGGTTTAGAAATGGGATAAAGGGTTTGGAGTTAGAGTTATGGTTTAGGGATGGGCTACAGGCTCACGGTTAAGGGTCTAGTTGTTATGGTTTATAGTTAGGGTTAAAGGTTAGGGACAGTAGTACATAAAACTGCATTTATTACCACATTTCTGACGAGCACGATTGACTACATACGGTGCAAAAGAAGTTCAACATACATACATCTGCAGGGATGTTGTTCCTGCTTTTCTTACTCTGTATTTGCGTGGACAGTAGCCTCCTCAGACAAAAGGGATAGGAGCCAGACATTTTTTTAATAGGCCTACCATTTGGATAACACTTCACCCCGGCCCTGCATGAGAGGGCTTGCTAAAGGCACGATGCTAAATTGCCCTGACGTTTAATTGCATCTACGTTGTAAATGACAACGCTGGTTACTGCAGTGACAATTCCACATTTCTTTGGCGGGCACCAGTGTTTGCACGTTGAACTTGCCACGAAGTAGTATACTGTATAATGTTCTTCAGCCTGGAAGAACGATGATGGGTAGTGGAGATGACTACCAACTGAGATTAATGCGCCCTATATAGAGTACATTAATCTTTGGTGTTAATGTATGCACATTTTATAAATAACAGTACTGTGCAGTATTCAAAATTATAATTACAGGTACTGTACTCTGTAGCATACCGTTATCAAGGCAGGAGGGACCCTCTAAGCAACAGTGCATTGACAGGGATCACAATCTAAATGTCCTCTAATTAAAGTGTTTTTTGAAGGTGTATGTTCCAATAATGCATACAAACATCATAATAATCTAAGTAGGATTTTTCAAATGCTTTTAAATTTTACTCTATCCTTGTCTGAGATTGTATCATTTCATTTTACAATACCGTGTTAGGAGTTTCCTTAATTATTTTGTATATTACAGCATATAATTGATGTAATTAATAAAACTCTACCAATACAGTACTGTAATACTGTAAGATATGCAATGCTTTCATTACTTCTAGTAGAGAACTTAAACCGAGGTATCGTACTTTTTCCCATTGCAATGTTTTATTCGTGCTGTATTAACACAGCAGTATTAATGCTGTACAATGTATTCATATTTTATTATACCACTGTATTTTAATACTGGAATACAATCATTCATTTTTTTAAACGATTGCTGTTATGATTGTTAATCTTAGCATTAATCTTAGCAGTATTGTGTACTGCTAAATGTATTAATCGTGTATGACAAATGTTTATCTGCATCACAGTACTGTACAATATTCTAAAACTGTACATTAAATTGACGATGCACGTTTGATCAGGAGCTACTATTTGCATCTTTACGCAATACCATTACTTCAAAATTAATCACGGATTTAAGGGCAAATTTCGCAAATTTGCGATGTCTGTAAAGGTCTCAACCACGCAACCTTAGGAAATCCAAATGCAATATTTGCCTCGCCTACAATAGAGGGTGCAACATTTAAAAAGCAGATTATCGTGACTATGAATTGGAATCCTTATGCACATCAGCGCTATGGTGTTGGACAGCAATTACTTGTGAACGCCACGCAATGTGACGGACGCTTTATTTGTGGCATCAGATGAGTTAAGAGACGCCAGTCACGCAGAGAACACCTACACACACATTATGAAATATCCCCCGACTGCACGTGTGCTATGGGTTCGAACAAAATTATGAAATACGTATTTTGAGAATTAAGAACATGCACGTGTGAAAGAGGGCCCTTTAGTTGAGATAAATGCAGCCAATTAAAACCCCCATCTATTGTTTTTTTTTTAAACTGAGGGTCAGGCATACTATTAGTGCAGTGTAAAATTAACAGCGTAACATAAATGCCGGTTGAACATTAAAGTTATTTCAGTATTACCAGGACAACCTTTACGATGAAATCCAGAACGTGGAAATCGTGAACACAAGTTCACAATGTGAGTGGTGGACACGGGCATTGCACTATAAATGATGCACAAGCATTTATAGTTGTCCAGTATTGCACATGGATTCATATGCATAGCATGTAGCTACAGCAGTTCATACCGTGCAGCGATCCATGTGAAAGTACGAATTAAGACAACACACTCATCCCCGTATAGAGACAAAGACAATCCCCGTAAACACACATTCACACTCACTCCACACTTCAACAATTAGACAAATACATCCATAGCCACATGCACCACTCAAGTGCACCGTTATGGTTGATAAGCCATTTTGATATGCGAAACATTGGCTCTCACCCATAGGCAAAGCGAGTAGGTTTAGCAATTGATAAACACCATCACCACTACAAAGCCACGCCATCACCACTATAACCCATCACTACATAACCACCACAATTATAATCAATGAAATCCAACACCACTGCAACCCATCTCTACATAACCACCTATTCACACATTGCCAAAAACAACCATCACCATGAACAACCCATGCCATGACCACCAACAACCCCTCACTACAAAATCACTATAATACCCATACATAACCAAGTAAACCCATGATCTAACCATCACAATTACCCATAGCAATTGATAGGGCAGAGGCCTATACTGTTTGTAAGTTGATAATGTGCCTACGTTGTGATACGAATATTTTGAACAATACTGTACTAATTTATAGCATGTCAATCCACTGCTGGATGAGGTGGTTGTCTGGCGTTCCATGCGTATATGTTTGTCAGCAGCATTTGTTTAAGCGTGAAGATACTTGAGAATGGCAAGCGCGGTCCAGAGTTTTGGCGATTTATTTAATACAGGGTCTATTTTAATGTGTGCACTACAATACTGTGGTTCAATATATATTTTGCTGTATTCGACTATCTGGGTTCCCACGATACACCCGAGTGTTTTGCAAGAGAGATCTGGAATGTGGGAAAATATGGTTCAGGGTACAGTACAACAATTAATTACAAAATAAATCCGTGCAGACGTAGACAATACAGGACAACTCGCCTTACCCTATTATCTGCGAAATTTTCACGGACAAATGGGAGTCGCGTGGCTAAATGTATCCTCTTATCCATCATGTTTCGTGATTTGTGTGGAAAATTAAATAGATTCGCGGATACAATCACAGATAAATTAAGTTTGTCCTAGACATGACGGATAACAGGGAGTTGTGCTTTATAATTGCAGCATACACATGTACTCAATTTAAATCTTGTACCGTGCGAAACACATATACAGGGGTCACGTGGTGGGCAGCAGAGGGCAGTGCACGCAAATTCCCTTGTTGTACTCTACCCCTATGCGTCCCACGTGTTCTCCCAAGCGTTCACCAACCCACAGTGACCAGCGTGGTAAAGTATGGGGAGGCCCTCATCCAGCAGTGGGTGAACAAAAGGCAATAATTATACACGTCTTGTCGTTCAGTATCTGTACTTGACAGTTGATTACCCAATAAGGAAGACCAAGAATTAGATATTCTTTGGGTCTTTCGGTAAGCCACGTGGATAGAAAAAAAATCATCAAAATAATAACAATATCACGACGTTTCGATCACAACACAAGCAATCGTCGTCAGGTGAAAAAATAGGCTTTACCGAAAGACCCAAATAATATGAATTCCTGCAGTCACGAAAGCTTTAAGTGAAGAATTAGATGTTTATATTGTACTGAGATGCCTATACTGTACGTACTAAATAAGGACAATTGTGAATTAGGATACAATTCACTCCACATAAGGACACGCAAATTAAAGATGCAACCCTCCAAGTACTTGTTCACGCCACTGCTGGTGCAAGGGCCCCGACTGAAAAAAAACTAATTTTATTTTACCAGGTACGGCCCTCAGAGCTAGACAGTATAGCTCTTCTTTCAGAAGCGACCTGACCACGAATGATAGCTCAACGAAGTGGCTTATCACGTGGAAATGTATAGCGGCCAAATACTCTAACCGCACATTGATTCTAAATGTGAAGGGAAAAATCAGAGGAGCCGGAGAAAACTCCACGCGACCACAGGGAGAGTGACACCACAAACTCCAAATATACAGGAGGCGTCAGCATCAGGATCGAACCCACGACCTCCTGTATACCACGAGAGGTAGTTAACATCTTGCCACCGTGGCACTTGATGGCGCTCCAGAGAAAACCCCTCGAGTCTAGAAGGTTAAATGGTCTGTTCTTCCATGCTGGAAAGACGTCTTGGCATAGGAATGAGTACCCACACTTTACCCCACACCGCGCAAACTGCAGATCGCGTGGTGTAGGTACGGTGCGAAGGAAGTTCAACATACCGTACATACACAGATCAGACTATGGCATTGCTCATTTATACTTCTGTGTGGACAGAAGCAGGGGGATTTTAAAAAATACTTTCCATTGGTTCACCTGCTGCGCTGAGAGATCGAATCAAACCGGTGACATCTGAATTTCTGGTCTATGCACGATTGATGCTGGATATAACCACAGTTGCTCATGTGATTTGTAACTTTGATCCTTACCCACGTATCGATAGTTACATTTTGATGCACAATTTTATTGAGGGACCGGATGCTGTCTTGGTGTGGTCTGGGACTGTTTTTGTTGTTTTGCTGCCTTGCCCAAGCTTGCATTTAGTGTTGAAAATCGTCAGGAATTGATGTACTTTTGTAATTTGTACTGATATACTCGTGGCTCGCTTACCTTTTCTCTATTTTTTATTGTTTGTTGTTGTAACTTGCTGACCTGCCACAACTGGACATCTGTGAAAAATTGCTTCATAGCTTATCGGATTCCTCCAGTCTAAATATTCAGATAACTGAATTGACCGCTATAAACCAGTGGTGAAAATTCTACATTACCTTGTAAAAAACCAGCCTCCTGACCACTAACTGCCTTTCTAAAAAGTGATACCCATTTTATAGACTCTAGACTGGATTATATACTGAGTCAAACGATCATTTTGAACTCAAGTTTGTATTGCGTATAGCAAAAATGTGGGTTCAATCTGCACCAACACATGTCACGTACAATAGACACACATGGATTTGAAATACATGTATAAAGACAAATATCCCCCCGTATAGCCTTGACAGATTGTTGGGGCAAGTGCTGTTAGCGAGCACCTTTGAAGGCTGGCACGGCACACGAGGGGGTGGGTGCACAACACCACGCCCGGCCGCCTTTGTCTCCCCAGAGACGATGTTTACACACTACACAAGGTACTCATTTAAGGCTGAGTTGGCCTAGGGGAGGCCCAGGATCGGTTCAGATAATTGCTATCACTGGTGGTGACCGTGAGCTGGAATCAAACTCAGGTCCCTTGGTTCGTAGTGCAGCGCGCTAACTGCTACACTACCACTCCCCACATACACACATATATACATACACACACATATACATACACACACTTAACACACACATGTGCGCGCACACAATGAATTTCAACACAAAACCCCATGCAGGCTCACAGATGGGGGGTTCACGTGACCTACATTTGAGACTGAAGCCATATCTACCACAATGGCCCATCACAATTACAAACCCATGCCATCACCACTACAACCCATCACTACATAACCACATTTACCCATTGGCAAACATAAGCCATCACCACTACAACCCATGACATCACCACAACCCATCACTACATAGCCACCACATTTACCCATTACCAAATATAACCCGTCATCACTATAAACCCATGCCATCACCACTACAACCCATCACTACATAACCACTACAATTACCCATCATGAATTGAATCCATCAGAAACAATCACATTTACTCATCACTAATGAAATCCCAACACCAACCACAATCACCCACAACCCACGAATATTAACCCATCGGTCAGTACTACAATTACTCTACTGTATTCACCAATATGTGTAAGCCATCAAGGGTACCGGCAATAGCTAACATCAGTGGCGAGTCATTTTTGAACCAGTCCTGGGCCCACCTTCACCAATATACACTCACCAGCGTGTTTAGATACTGGAGCTATAAAAATAGATAGTATAAGCCATCATCACTAAAACCCATCACTATAAGACCACTGCATTTACAAATAAGCACTACAACCCATCACTAACCACCATATTCACCCATAATCATAATAACCTCGGACCACTACATCCAATCACCACCACCACACAATCTTCTCTACAACCACCACAATGACCGGGCCCTTCCTTATTATAATCCATGCCAACACATCACTCTCACAACCCATCACAGCACAAATCCTACCCACTTCTCGCCGCAAAGAACACAGAAACATCATCATATCCATCGACACAAACACACAACTACCCATCATAACGTTCTTTAAAAAATCTCAACCACAAATACTGTACGACTCTTACTTTTATTAATTTTAATTTTTTACCTACGTGACTTTACCGAAAAACCCTAAGAATATGACTCTTAACCCACCACCACCCACTGTCCCATTACCACCAGTCACCATGACAACCACAGCTACCCCACATGGCAAAGTCAGCCGGCACTGCAACCACCACCACCACCATCACAACGATCACCTACCCATCACCACAATTATACAGGAACTACCATTACCATAATCACCACCCCCATGGCCACCAAAAAAACCCACAACACTCACCGCAACTACATGACAGTACCACCATCACAGCCCACAAATTTGAACTGCCATTACCACAGTCGCTACCACAAAGCAAAACTACATCACCTCTGCCACCATGAGCAAACACACAAACACACCAATCCTCCACTGCATGTGGCACAGAGACACGTGTGTTGTGGCGAGTGTACATGCGTGCCACGTGTGTGTGTGTGTGTGAAGGACAATCACTTGGTGATACCGCTGCTGGTGGTGTAAGGGGGCTTTTGGAGGCCAAATCTTCCACGATGTGCCACGTCTTGGGAGGATACCCACGCAATGATGCAGTGCAATTGTGTGCATGCAGTGAGTTGGGTACCACGGGTGTCCATTACCAATGTGCTGCGTCAGCAGCAACAGGGCATGGGTACACACTTAATTAATACAAATTACTATGCTGGTTTTTTTATTTAAATACGAAAGACGATGTTATCAGCATAATAAAAAAGACCGTTACTGTATGCCCAAGAAGTGTGATGTTGTACATGATGTTATATATTTTTACACATCCGAGCTGTCTAAACATGTGTACACATGTATGTGTGCACATGTGTGTACAATGGGGAGCGGTGGTGTAGCGGTCAGCGCGCTGCACTACGAACCTGGCGACCCGGGTTCGATTCCAGCTCACGGCAAACACCAGTAACGATTATCTGAACCGGTCCTGGGCCTCCCCTAGGTCGACTCAGCCTCAAATGAGTACCTGGTGCGGTGTGTAAACATCGCCGCTAGGGAGACAAATTCGGTCGGGCGTGGTGCTGGCCCACCCACCCCCTCGTGTACCGTTCCGGCCTTCATAGGTGCTCGCTAACAGCACTTGTCCCTACAGTCTGTTAAGGCTATTTGGGGGATCTTTGTCTTTGTACAGAGGGCCCTTTTCATAATCCACGGCTGTACACATACGGTATACAGAGTCTCGACTTAAAGATTTCAGGACTGCAGGAATCCATATTATTGGGTCTTTATGGTATACACAGTATATAAACTTAGAACCTGTGTGTGTATACTGTATAATTACAATAGGTGCTCGCTGACAACACTTGCCCCAAACAGCCTGTTAAAGACTACACGGGGGATATTTTTTTTGGGACTAAAAATGACCACACACGCAATGTGTTGCCTGTGTGACAAACACTGTACACAATGTAGCAACACATGCACACACAAGACCGCGTTACATACCTAGAAAAGCAATCACGAACGGCACGTGCGTACACAATTTCACATCGCATCGTGTCCTACTGCGTGCCACGTGCACACAAGAGAGCACGTGATCATGTGACGTGTGGTCACGTGACGCGTGGCGTGGCACGTGGCGGTGTATTTGCACGTGCACATACACCGTGCGGGGGGTACCGTCGTACTGATACATAGCGGACCTATTTACTGAATTGTGCTTAAAAGTTTATAGTGATGTGTATTATGCAATTGCATACTGTATGATTGCAATGCATTTTAATATGCAGCACTGTGCTGCAGTTAAGTTTGCACTGTACAGCATAGCCATCGTGATTACTTTAAATTAGTACGTACTTACAGGATGTTGCGTATACCGTGAGGTATATATGCTCATAGCATAGACGTGCACTTATTACTGACATTAATTGCGCACACACACACGCACGCAATATTGCGTTGACACATTTCCGAATTTGGACATATGCACACAAATACATACCTGTATGTACATTTTCCCTGTAGCACCCTGATGTACGCACACACACACGCACTGATACATGCACAGATGCAAACAAAACACACACAGATGCATGCAAAATTAAGCACGTTTTTACTCCATTGTATACTTTCCATGGAACGCATGCGAACTTATCTTCTACACATACACGGCGACTCAAAGATCCTTGATGCATACCGCATATGAAGCATAATTTAAACACTCGCACAGATGCACTGCATACAGATTCAACGTGGCACAGGGTTCATCTGAATTGCAGGCCTGACACGCAAGGATACGTACAAACATAGATGAGACGTATACATCAAATACATACACCTAATTGCCCACTTGTGGATTACACACGAACGTATCCATTATGATTTTATGCACGCAAAGATGCATTACAGTATATACACAGATTCAACATGACATACAAGCAGGCACATTTGATCATGCATGACGAGACCTGACATATAGTGGAGATGCATACAGGACACACACACGCACGGAAATGGCACACGGCACACTGATACATACGTGATAGACACACTGAGCACACACAACATGATACACCACACACACACTTTACACACACGACACAAAGACAAACATTACATACACAGCTAGATACAGGGCACGGCATGGCTGGACTGGTTGATGATGGTCCACGGTTCAGGCGTGGAGACGGAGCGATGGAAGTGGATCGGTAAAACATCGTGAGAGGCCTTCATCCAGCAGTGGATAGATTCCGAGTTGACCACGATGGCATGACACGAGCATGTGGCACACGCATCTCACACACGTGCATCACACACACACGTGCATCTCACACACACGTGCATCACACACACGCGCACCACACACGCGCACCACACACACGCATCACACACACACGTGCATCACACACACATCACACACACGTGCACCACACACACGTGCATCACACACACACACGCACCACACACGCGTGCATCACACACACGCGCACCACACACGCGCACCACACACACGCATCACACACACACGTGCATCACACACACATCACACACACGTGCACCACACACACGTGCACCACACACACACACGCACCACACACGCGTGCATCACACACACGCGCACCACACACGCGCACCACACACACGCATCACACACACGTGCATCACACACACACACGCACCACACACACGCGCATCACACGCGCGTGTACATTGGCACACTGTAACAATTACACACATATAGCTTGCGCACTGACTTGATGACGTGATACCACGAAACGTACAGTGATATATCACACTATTCATTGACAAGTGATAAGAGCACATCATCAGCCATGATCAATCCACTGCTGGATAAGGGCGTCCCCATGTCCCATTGCTGATTTGGCACTTACAGAATAATACACCACGCACTGAACTGACACACAGATACAATGGTACATAACACTGGACGGACACAATGATACACTGCATTGACACAATGCTACATCACAAACCGATACAATGCTATATCGAATACTGAATTGACACACAATGAAACATCACATTGAATTGACACACTGATACATCACATTGAATTGACACACACTGATACATCACATTGAATTGACACAATGATACATCACATTGAATTAACACAATGATACATCACATTGAATTGACACACACTGATACATCACATTGAATTGACACACTGATATATCACATTGAATTGACACACTGATACATCACATTGCATTGACACACAATGATACATCACATTGAATTGACACACAATGATACATCACATTGAATTGACACACAATGATACATCACATTGAATTGACACAATGATACATCACATTGAATTGACACGCAATGATACATCACATTGAATTGACACACTGACACAACACATTGAATTGACACACTGATACATCACATTGAATTCACACACACTGACACATCACATTGAATTGACACACAATGATACATCACATTGAATTGACACAATAATACACCAAATTGAATTGACACACACAATGATACATCACATTGCAATGACACACAATGATACATCACGTTGAATTGACACACAATGATACATCACATTGAATTGACACACTGATACATCACATTGAATTGACACACACTGAAACATCACATTGAATTGACACACTGATACATCACATTGAATTGACACACAATGATACATCACATTGAATTGACACACTGATACATCACATTGAATTGACACACTGATACATCACATTGAATTGACACACTGATACATCACATTGAATTGACAAACACTGAAACATCACATTGAATTGACACACTGATACATCACATATTGAATTGACACACACTGATACATCACATTGAATTGACACACTGATACGTCACATTGAATTGACACAATAATACACCACTTTGAATTGACACACTGATACATCACATTGAATTGACACACTGATACATCACATTGAATTGACGCACAATGGTAAATCACACTGAACAGACACATACACCACGATACATCACACAGATGAACTGACTCAAAATTATACATTACACTGCATTGACACACAATGGTACATCATATACTGAATTGGCACACAGATACATGACACATCGAATTGACACTCACGGTGACACAGCAATACATCACACGCTGAAATAACAGTGGCACACGGTGATAGAGCACACTGTATTGACACAATGAAACGTCTCACACGCTCGATTTACACAATGAAACAGCGCACTAAATTGACACACACACAATGATTAATCACACGCTGAATTAACACACAATGATTAATCACACGCTGAATTAACACACAATGATTAATCACACGCTGAATTAACACACAATGATTAATCACACGCTGAATTAACACACAATGATTAATCACACGCTGAATTGACACACACACACAATGATGCATCACACGCCGAATTAACACACAATGCCACACACTGCATGAACACACAGAGAGTGACACATCACGCACAGATTGTATGTGGCACACACATAGACACAGACACGTGTGATGTTGACACATCCACACCGACCTTGTATAAAAAAACGTCGCCTTCTCGCTGGTGGCTTCCTTCCTTCTCACTCGCTCGTCTCTGTGTAATCGTTCATATATAGATATAGGAAATTCATTTGGATTTATTTCAAATATATAAATAATTGCTTACATTTATTTGTAACGTTTACAATTTTTTTTTTCGCCCTCCCCTCTCTCTTGGACGCCGACAAACCCACGATAATAATTTTTTTCTCTCTCTCCACTTTCACGTAATAATTTATTTTTCGTATTAAAAACCTGCCTGGCCAGGATTTACAAAACGCGACCGAATCCCACCACCCCCTCGCTGCATCATCGCCCCGTGTGTCTCAAGCCACTCAAATGTTTGTTGCTCTTCCGATGGTGACGACGACGAAGACGACGACGACGATGATGTCGGTGATGGAAGAGGAGGAGGAGGGGGTGTTTATATAAAATAGAAGCTAGCTTGGACGTGTCTTCCGTCCCTCTGTGATGATCTCTCTCTCTCTCTGCTGACCGGGATCTTCACCACCACCACCACCCCCTCCCCAATGGTAATCCCCCCCCCCTACCACCACCACCACGCCGCCAAATCCTCGTCCATACTTCACCACGAGGTGGCGCACTAACGTCGACTACCGATTCTCATTATACTGCTCGGTCATTGGAATCGATTCCAATTTAGGCGGTATTCCCCAGTGCGTTTGCGTCGATTTCGTTGCGTGCTCTGTGTAAGATGGATCGATTCCCTGGATAATTTAACGCATTTGGTGATGCTGATGCTGCTGATGCTGCTGCTTCTTGGTGCACAAGGACTAAAATAATAACCTAACGCTGTGGCCCTTAATAGGAGACGTTTCGGGCAATGCCCCTTCTAACATAGCACATGATTCCCGTCGTAGAATGAATACTGTTGGGGGTGGAATACGTGGGAATATGCGCTTAAGAGGGGTAGGTTGGACAGCTCCCTTTTGTCAATGCCCTTTCAGCATCAGAATATTTAGACTGGAAAATCCTGAGCCACGAAACTCTTTTTTATAGATGTCTAATAGAAGTTACAACAGGAAATAATAACCACAATGATCGCAGTGCAAAATAGAGAAAATGGTAATCAAGTTACGAAATATGAATAGTTATGACTCCCATTCATCAAGCCTTGGGCAAGGCAGCAAAAACACCAACAGTCCCAGACCACACCGAGATAGCACGCACTCCCTAAATAGAATGCCACATGAACTTTGAACTATCGATTAGCAAATGTGATTGTATCCAGTCACATTTGCACAAACCTTCTGCTGAGTGGATCTGCGCCGTACGGGGTCCCGGAGAGGGGTTCTGACCATACTTCACCACGCTGGTCAGTGCAGGTTGGTGAGTGTAGGGGGGGGGGGGGCATAGGAGTACAGTACAACAATGGATGTGTTTGCCCTGCCCTATGCTGACTGCCACATAGACCTAAGACCTGATTTATGTATAATTATAATTGGCCAGAATTCTAATTGTAATGCCATTATAAAGTATTGATTTTGCAATTAAATTACAGTACAGTGCTATTATAAATTAATACAAGTGTGTGTATTTACAGACTACCGAATGATCATCACTCTGACTTTGGTGTGTGGAGGGGGGGGGATGATAAAAATTTGGTAAATTTTGTGGAAGGTCCCAACAGTTTTCGTTATTGCGGATGGACTCGTCCCAGCCGCTTGAACGTGGAATTTCCAACCCTGTCAGTCATTCGTGTTGCTTATAACCAAATGACCCAGGACCTGCGTCAAATTCCTCAATCTGGGCCAGATTTTTTTGACCTAGACAGCATTTTGGGTGGGCGACCACCATGAATTTTTTTTTTTTAAGCCAGGAAAAGCCACCGATGTCATCGTTTCTACGCCGGTGCTTCCCAAATGTCCATGCTTCGCCACCGGCACTGACCGGCGGTGGTGAAGTAACCTGCTAAGGCAGCGGTCGGGAACCTATGGCTCGCGAGCCATATATGGCTCTTTCGGTGACGGCATATGGCTCCCAGACAATTTTGAGTTGAAAAAAATAAAATAAAAAATCAGTTTGGAACTGACTTTAAAATACTTGTGATATTGCTTAATAATGCTGTGTCATATTTAAGTAAACAGAAATTAGTTTTGAAGATAAATTTCACGGGTCACGCCTGCATGAAGCTCAACCTCACCACGTATGAACCAGACTACAAGGCCATCAGCAAAACCACGCGGCACCAGATGTCGCATTAAAAGTAAGACATATTTAATTTATTATACGTTAAAAATACTATATGGCTCTCAGTGCAATATATTTAGAAATATTTGGCTTTTATGGCTCTCCCAGTCAAAAAGGTTCCCGACCCCTGTGCTAAGGAGTGCGTGGGCCCCTTCATCCAGCAGTGGATTGGCAAGAGAGCCATTGCACGTGCATCGTTAACGGCGCAATTGTTCGTGAGCAGGTAGTGCGACTCGTTTGGTGTATTGTTTTTAAATATTGACAGCATTGTAGGATTCATGATATTGACGGGATAGAAGTCGTGCCGTGTAATGTAATATCAGCTATTATATATTTGTTTTAAATTATGCTGTTATTTTTCCGTCAATTGTAAACATCACTGCATTGATATGTTATTCACGTTTTGTTAAATAAATGGCAACGCCTTAAAAGTGTAATTAATTTATATGTATTTTTAAAATCTATTTCTATTATATTTAAATATCGATATTTTATTTTGGAAAAACAGCGCTGTAATAAAACCACTAACATTGCGATCGGCCGATTTTAAATCGATTCTTTGAACCCTGAGAATCGATTCCCGGCGAACCCGTCGTGCCTCGTGAACACTGACGTCATCGCAACCCGGGGCGTGACGCTCACGCAACTCGCGGTGACGTCAGGGGGACACGCAAATGACGTCATAACCCAAGCGATCCAGATTGCGACGACATTGCGTAACTGAGAGAAAAATTGGTGACGTCGGAAAACGCGCGTGACGTCAGGAGGAAAGTGGCCGATGCTCCCGTGCGGTGACGTCATATCACCAACTATCCCACCACTATATATCTGACCCAAAATACGACAAAAATTTTTTCCAATAACTACCTAAAATACATATGTAGGACAACGTTTCCGGCAATGTCCCTTCTTCATAACACACGTGCTATGAAGAAGGGTCATTGCCCGAAACGAATTTGTGAACGACACTGCTATTAGTGCCAAGACAGTTAAAAAATATATTTTTTTAAAAACCCACACAAAACTAAAATCGTTCAGGAGCGAACAAAAAAAACACATTTAGACTGATTCTGCGCAGTGTTCTAATTTCATTGACAAGCAAAGCAATGCATGTCATCACGATACACAATGAAGTTAGAGTAACGAGAATGTTACTGGTAGGAACCTCCTGGTTCCACCTGCCCACAGGGGATTATTGTGTCCGTCGTGCAGGGAGGGGCTGGGTGGGGAGGGGCTGGGTGGAGAGGGGCTGGGTGGGGAGGGGAGGGTGGGGTGGGGCTGGGTGGGGAGGGGAGGGTGGGGCTGGGTGGGGAGGGGAGGGTGGGGCTGGGTGGGGAGGGGAGGGTGGGGCTGGGTGGGGAGGGGAGGGTGGGGCTGGGTGGGGCTGGGTGGGGTGGGGCTGGGTGGGGAGGGGAGGGTGGGGCTGGGTGGGGTGGGGCTGGGTGGGGAGGGGAGGGTGGGGTGGGGCTGGGTGGGGAGGGGCTGGTCACCCCGTGGTGCCCTTATAAAACTCAACGTTTAACCTACTCACGCCGGCTTGTGCCCGCCCTCACAGTCGGCCATATTTGCGGAATACACCACGCCGCCGTTGACCCTGCAGGCCATTGACCGAGCAACCCAACGTTCCTACCAGCTCCCTCCGCAGGAATGTGTTGGTAATGGGGCAGTACATTGAAAGTGGGGGGGGGGGGGGGGGGCAAAGTAAAATCAAGTCGACGGCCAAATTTCCTCAACCACAAAAGTGACCGTGCAGATACACAGGGGTCAAGGTGAGAGAGGATGGAAATGCCCAACAACAAACAAACAAAGATGGAAATGCATAGAACCGCTGTGAAATCACGAAGACTAGAATGAAGAAATAAATAAATAATGATTAACCAAAAAAAACTCAAGTGAACGAGGTTGTCAGAATAAACAACGGGATCATGAAACCAGCAAAACGTCCACTGGTGATTGGTAAATCGCGAGTGGTAACCCTTAGCACGATGGGGCCATGACGAGTTTACGACTACAATGAGCCAAGAATGTCTGTGTGTCCCGCGCGTGACGTCACTCCACGTCGACCAGCCCCCCTCATTAATAATCATGAGCAGGTGACGTCACTTCACATGGACCCCCCCTCATTAATAATCATGATCGAGTGACGTCACTCCACATGTAGCTTCCCCCCCCCCCCACATTAATGATCATGAAGAGGTGACGTCTTTGTGAGAGACGTCAGCTGCTCATGATTATTAATGAGGGGGGGGCTATTCAATGTGGAGTGTCGTCACCTGCTCATGATTATTAATGAGGGGGGCTGGCCGACGTGGAGTGACGTCACGCGCGGGACACACTTGACATTATTGGCTCATTATAGTAGTACATTATTAACAAGTGACGTCTTCCAAATGGACACCTCCCCCCCCCCTCCATGAATAATAATTAGATGACGTCACTCCATATGGGGGGGGGGGGCAAGGCGCCTCCTCCCCCCTCCTCGGCGTCAACTCACAACCCTCACCACAAAGGCAGAACCCGCACGTCATCACGTGATCTCCGTAGCGCTGTTGAGACATCAACGTAAAAAGGACGTCGTGATGAACAATGGATTATAACCTGAAAATGAAATAAGTCTGTGTCACCGCACCCTTACAAATTGCACACGAATTGATGCGATGAATATATCACGTCGCGGTCTGATTTTCGCTTGCAAGTTTCAGATTTACTTAAATACACCCGTCCTTGGACGGGCAAAAGGCGAGTTGTAAATACTAAATAATCCGGATCTCTATAGCAAGGTGCTGGGGTTGGTGATGGAGTAGGGGGCTATGCGCAGTGCTAGGGAGACATTGGGGGGGGGGGGGCTCTGCCCAGTGCTAGTGATATTGGGGGGCTCTGCCCAGTGCTAGAGTGATATTGGGGGGCTTTAACCAGTGATAGAGTGATATTGGGGTGGGGGGGCTCTGCACGGTGTTTGGGACAGTGACGAGCTCGCTGCTTAGATCCACGCAGTGCATATGGAACCTCAAAAGGAACTCCACATTCCTGAGAAACCTCCTCACCTGGCACCCAGACAAATAAACATCGGTGAGCACTCATTGAGTACAACACATCCTCGCACCATCGTAAAAAAAAAAACTCATACCGAAACTCAAATAACCTCAGTTTTAATGTCAGAGTAATTTTATTACGTAAATCAGTGCTTTGAAACTTGTGGCATTTGTAGGACTGACTCGTGGTGCACAAGTCCATGGGAAGTGGTCTGCAAAACTTGGGAATTATTTGCAAAAGAACACAAATCAATGTAATTTATATTTTATTGTATCCGTGCGTGGTGGTCTGCGAGAATCTTGCGAGGGTTGACAGTGGTCCACTGGTCCAGGAAGGTTGAGAACTGATGTTAAGCAACATCTCTTGGAATTCTTCAGTCAACAAGGCCTCTCGATGCCACAATGAGGAAGAGCCCCAGAAGACGAGTTCCTAGAGCAGTGGTTCTCAACCAGAGGTACGCGGACCTCTGGGGGTACACGTAGCAATCTCCCAGGGGGTACGCGAGGTGATTTATAAATGTGAAATTATATCATACACGAGTCATATGTGAATCTGCCAACAAAAAATAACTATGCTAAAATGTAAATCCATATGGTAACCTAGAATACAAAAGATATTTCTAAACTCCATTGATTGCGAACCATGTGTTTTCCAAGAGTAACCAGCGAGTGTGAACAAATGACGCAACGCATGCAGAACGTTCGTTGAATGTGTCTATTCGCTAGCAGTTACTAGTTGGGATACCTCACACAAGGCCAATTGGTTAATATATTGATGTTCATTATACATACGTTTATTTCTCAGAACCGTGTTGGGTCAACAAGGGGTAAATTAGCCAAAACAAGGTTTAGAACCACTGCCCTAGACTACTTAATAAGCTGCTTCAATTAAGATCTCTCATCCAACACTGAACCGTGGACCTTCCCGCTTTGCACAAGATTGTTCACCGAGTCAGTCACCTAAGATACTGCAAACGATAGCGAATCGCTGTGCGCCGTCCAATTCTTCCAGGTGATCTCGAAGCGTCAGATGATGCCGACGCGAGGAAGATGCCACATGAAGATGGGGCTTGGAGTCTTATGGTATCTCAGTTGACAAGTTCTCACCAAGCCACATCTTTATTCAGCCGTCTTTACATCAATGTAGGACATATGATTACAAAAACAATGACAATAAAGCAACCCTCTTGGCAAGGTGTCCTGGTTTTTAACCGCTTGATGCTGTCAATCGTTGTAAGCCTTGCTCCTCGACCTCCTGGTGTTGTTGATGGGAGTACAACTCCTGATACAGAGGGGAGCTATTAATGAACCTCCTCCCCACAAGGAGGGGGCTTCAAAGTCCTGCTACTCATCCGTCCACTCCGTTGCAGGCCCTCTTCCTCATCTATCCACTCAGCTCCAGGTCTTCCTGCTTCTCTTTCACTTGGTTCCAGATGCACATATTCCTCATCAGTCCAAATTTCAGGTTCGTCCATCCCTCTTCCAACCAACCATACACACGCATGCAGCCTTTAGTCTCCCACCACACAAAACAAAGGCAGACCAGGATTTGTACTCTTTAGATATAATTTTAAGAGTTTAATTACCGTTCATGTGCCATTTGCTATGAATAACAAGAGGCTGACATTAATATGATGTACAAAGAACCGTAATGATTAATAAGGTACGATGTTTAAAGGTGCATCTACACGAAGGTGTAGCGGTCGTGACATGCCCGAATGAACAATCCCAATGCAAGAGGTTATCTGACCCCTCGGGAACCTAAGGGCACCCTAATCTTAACAACAGGCCATACGAAATCTGAGGGTGCTAGTCTCGGCTGACCTATTTCTAGGCATTAGCAATGAACCCTCAGAATCCCAAATGTTGCTTCAGTATGGCACTCCTAGCCCAGGCAATAACACTGAACCTTAACCTTAAGAATCCTAAAGGTGCTTTAAGTCCGACTCCGAACCTTGGGCCATAACATGAATCCCTCTTGTGCGTCATTTACTCAAGGCTGAATGCCACGTGCAGCAGCCACATTCGTCGTGTAGCACATGAGACACAAATTGTGTTTCCACAAACTTTTTCTTTGAGCAAAAGTGCAGCCAGATCTGGACTAGAACCAGTCTAGAACCAAACCACGATCGCAAAAAGATCAGAGCCAGAGGGCCAAAGCTGTAACTGGACTAAAACCAGATTGAAACATGAGGCACTGCTCGAGCTGGGCTGTATTTGAAGTCAGAGCAAGAGCCACAATTGGAACCGGAGGTGGAAAATGGACAGAGCAAAAACTGGACGGAATTTAAAGATGGAGTTACAACTGGCTCAAAACAACACAAAGACACAGCAGGAGCAGAGACCACAACTGGCTTAAAACAAGACAGATACAGCAGGAGCAGAGACCACAACTGAAACCAGAGTCAAAGGAGCCTCCATATCAGTCCACCATCTCAGCACCTCTCTCATCTTGCCCACCGCAACCCAGTGACTGACCCACAAATAACAAAATGTGCACAAGATAGGTTAGGGGAAGGGTTTTCAGAGACATGAAAGTACCAGTACGTGGGAGGTTATCTACTTGGTTAGGTGTAGGGCAACATTTGATTGCCCTCCTCCAAAGTGTAATGTTTGGCTTTTCAGCTGTGGGATTGCTTTTTCTTTTCTAGTGTTAACCTTTGCAGAGGAATTTGGGTGATCTTATGTCCGAGGCCAACAGAGCACACTGAGTAGTTTGACGAGTATTCGCACACCCTGTCGCTTGTGCACCGGTATAAACCTCACCACAAGTTGTGGCCGGCCCACAGGCCATGGGTTGCCCACTCCCAGCTAGATTCTGCAGAGATCCTAGCACCGCTTGTAATGTTGGGGCCTCAATGCAGCATTGGCACTGGGAAGAGTGTGGCCAAATTAGAACTGGTCATGGAAATAGGGCAAGGGAAGGCAGCATCGTCGGCCTTGACTCAGTTTGATTTTGCGCAGCAGAAGTTTACTTTGAGTAGTTTGAGTGCTGGAGTCAACTCCTAAATCAGACGCTAAGGCAGAGGCACAGAACCGCGGTGCCACTGTGCATGGGAAAGAAACAAAGCCGTTTGATGTACCATTTGAGAAAACCACCTGTGTGGGGATGAGGAGAAAAAAACAATTAATCTCGCTTACAAAGTTGCAAAAGAAATACATCAAGGTGCCGTATTGTTCAGAAAACGTGTTCGAAGCAGTTTGTATAATTTGCTTAAAAAGGTGTTGCTCGTGTTGCAGTGACCGTTTCTCTGAACAATGAGTGGTGTCAGGTGCTTTGCCTGATTAAATAAAATAAATTTAATGGCTTGATGTTGCAGGCTTATGGATAGGTTTATGGCTAAAGTTGTAACCAGTTCTGGGAATAAGGCAAAGAAGGTGGCAGTTGTGATTATGGTGAAAGGTAATGCTTGAATAATACTCGTACGAAATTTTTACTTAAGGTTTAGAATTCCTCTTTAGGTTTAGGGTTATAGGTCTAAATATGGTTAGTGTAAATGTGAGTGCTTTAATAGGGCTAGGAATGTGGCGATTCGTGTTAAAAATAGGATTAGAAATGTAAACAGGACCTGTGTTTACGTTAGAATCTGAACCGAAGGAGAGTGGTGCGTGTTGCGATGGTAGAGCTAGTGTTCATTATAGAGCAAGAAAGATAGTTGGGGTAAGGTTTGTGGTTAGTGCTGGGGACATAAAAGGAACACACAACACGTTGTGTGTGTCCAGCAGCGTCGATCTTCGTGTAACATCACTGCGTGTGCGTGGTTACCGCGAGAGAAGCACACACGCCACCATGGCTTAGCTTCCCATCAGGAGGTGCTCACCCACCTAAAGGAGCCAATAAACTGGAATTGGGAAAGTGAGTTTTCAGAAGCTAACAGATGAAAAAAAAAATTTCAATTGCGACTAAATGTTCTTTAGTGAACAGTCCGCATTCCCACTGATAAGTATTAACATGTGAAAGTTTACCCGTTTGACTTCAATGTCATGGTAACAGTTACTCTAACAAATTTTAGTGTTGAATTTGGAAACTTGAAACTTGACGACAGTTCCAGTGGCACTTTACAGCTGAAGGCATGCTTGAATTGGTGATGATGACGATATGATCATCAAATCAACACTTCCCTTTGCATTTTACGTGGAGCTTCTGGCCGTAGCAGAAATCGGACCGTGGGCCATCTAACCGTGAACCGGCACGGGACGCAGAAGCGGTGAGTAAACTCCACCGAGCTGCGTGCGGTTTATCGGCCCACCGATGAACGCGAGACTTCTGTTGATGACGGGGGCGGGGGCTGGAACGCGCGGAGCTGGGAGGAATTCAACCCCCTCACCTCACTTGAGCAAACAGCATTTTGTCATGGTGCAATTAACAATATCATCATAGTCTCTACGTGGAGACAATTTGTACGCTTCACATCACTGTTAATATTTACGATTATATCTGTACACGTTATCTCAGGTGAAAAAAAAACACAATTTCTATACGAGTGGGATTACTTGTTTTCTTTAACCGATCGTTAATTGTGATTAAGCAATTCGCTGATTACCAAAATGCTCAGCTAAAATAAAACAAAAACGGTGATCGCCGCAGCGTGCAGTTTTACGAGACAAGAAACACCAAAGGAAAAGACACTGTGCAATTGAATCGAATTAAACCCTGTGGATCAGATCAAACTCTATCACTTGATCGATCTCTGAGATCAGATTATGATCTGAGATCGGACCTTGTGAACTGTAGGCGAGTCACAGTTCATTCTCCCAGCGATTTCATGATTCGATTAAAGAATTACATTTCCGTCTACTTTTTACCAACTCAGTTTTTTGTCTAATTTTGCAAAAAATGTCACTTTCTGTTAGCCTAAATTTAACATGAGCATATAATTTGCATATATTACCGAAAATGGTACATAATCGATTCTTACACACGATTCAATGCAATTATGAGCACACAAAACTATTTGAATGCTGAATAAAAAGCTCTAATAAGAAGTTGATATTCAAATTTGACTTGCCTCCTGAACTCTATGAATGTTGGTTGGTCAGCAAGGAGGGCATCGGCAAGGCAGTTGCACAGCGCAGATTATAAGAGACAGATTTGCATTCCGGAATCTGGAGTAACTTCGGAGATTCTCAGGAAATTAATTCGGAATATAGAGCACGTTGCAGAATCTTGAGTAATTTACAAGATTCAAAACAACAATCGGAATATGAAAGAACTTCTCGCATCTGAAAATACTTATGGTATAACGGCATCTGGAGAAAAAAAATTCCAGGGTACAGAGCAACTTGCAACAAGGAGATTAACATTTGGTATCCGGAGAATCTTCCGTCTCAAAGGCTATGACCACTAACAGAGAAACGTACAAAGTTTTGCAGCAAACCTAACATTCATTACATCCCACCATTCACGAAACAATGATCAACCCTTCTCACACTTTCTGCTGCGGTCCCACCCCTTGCCTCAAGACAATGCTACACAATCCTATCCTACGACCTTGGCATGAAGGGAATGCTGGACAGGACTTCACCAACACTGAAATGAAATGGTGGCCAAACTGAAGCCCTGATTGATTCAAGTTCCTATATTCATCTCCTAACTCTGCCTTTTACATTCTGACACCCCCCCCTCCCCCCTGTATACAATCTCCTCTCACTCATCCCCCCTCCTCCAGCTTACCCAATGCCCGAGTAGAACTTCTAAACCGCTAGGCTGGCAGCGAAGGGATCGGCAACACCGGGGCTTCCGCGACCTGGCGTTTTGCCGTCACCGGACTCTCCCTGCCCTGGCGACATGGCCCGGCCATCCCCGGGAAACCTCACGGCGTCGACGGCAGTGGTCGGGGATGGCGAGGGGCACTCGGGGATGGCACGGCCCGTCTTGGCGGACCGCACGCGCTCCATGAGGCTGCTGGGCGGAGGCGTTTCTTCAAAGAACGACACCAGCGCAGCCTCCGTCAATGACGACGCCAGGAACTGCTCGAAGCTCACGGCCCACTCGCGGTCGGGGCGCCCGCGAGCTGGCGACCGCCGCGGCGGCGTCGACGCTGCCGCCGTTGCTGCCAACGACGATGAAGCGCCTGCAGCTGCAGGAGCGGCTCGAGGAGGGCAGGAGCCGCCGGCCGCAGCCTCCCCCCCGCCGTTACCGCTGGACCGGCGCGAGCCCCCGGCGGTAGGTGCCGCCAGCACGACAGCGCCGTCGTCAGAGGAGCAGCCGTCGTCTGAGCAGGGGATGGAGCCGGCGCTCACGACAGAGTAGGATGACACCGACGTGTCGTCCTTGGAGTTGAACTCGTCGTCCGACACAACGAGGTTGTTGAGCGACGCGCGGTCGCGCTCGTCCTTGCGCGGCATCGACGGAGCCTCTTCCTGGCCGCCCCCGATCGCAACGTCCGACGCCGAGGCCACTTCCTCCGCCATTTCGTCCACCATCCGGTCGATACTGTCGTCTGTACTGTTCGCCGTGAGGTTCATCGCGGCGGTGGCGGCGGCATTTCCGGAGGAGGCAGCGTTGCCGGCGGTGGCTGTGTTGCCGGCGGTGCGGTTGCGGTGCTGGCTGAAGCGCTTGCCGACCTCGCCGAGCTCCAGCAGCAGGCTGGCCACCGTGGCGATCGAGTGGTAGAGCTGCTGCTCGTGCGGATGCTCCGCGAACAGCGAATACAGGGACTTGCACAGCAGGATGAACTGCTCCTGTGGTTGGATGGGGATGTTAAGGCGGCCAAGAAGGTGAGAGAAGGAGTGAATGTTTGTGATTGTGTGTACTGGTACACGTGCGCGCACGTGTGTGCGTCGCTCTTAAAGTGCGGTTCCCCGTGCACCTGTTAAGGCTGGGATTTTCAGAGCATTCCAAAACAATTAGTTTTTTTTGGATCATCTGAAATTTTGGATATATCTTGACGCGATTTGCAAGATTTTCAGATTAATAAGAAAATCGGAATGCATTCCTAATTTGTACATGGACACGAACACCTGAATACACGCAATGTATCGATTCACTCCGCTGGAGAGCAATTGTTAAAATTCACACTATTCAATTCACAGATTAATTTTTGCCATGCATACAATGTATATGTATTGAAAATAATGTATGTTTACCTCCAGGTTTTTGACACCCGTTATCGTGTGCAGAATAATCGACGTGTACAGTTGCTGCACCGTTGCACGCCTGACAGACACACACACGCTGCAGGCGACAACGCACCTGGTTCATCTTGGGCAAGTCCTTGATGCTCTCCTTCTTGAGCTCCGTCTCCTGGGCCCACTTGCGCAGGTAGTAGCGGTAGTCCCTGGCCTCTGCTCCGCCTGTGTCGGCGAGTGCACGTTAGGCGGAGGCCGGCGTGCGGCCTCGCACAAAGGAATGGCGATGATGATGGCGACAATAAAGGGTGATATGACAATAATGATAAAAAAAACGATGATAAAAAAAGGTGATGACTTTAAAAGATGATGATGAAGATGCTAAGGATGATAAAGGTAATGATGAAGCTAATGATGAGGATGATAAAGATGAGGACAAGAACGATGATGAGGACTATGACGATGATGCACCTTTGTCTATGCGTGTGTTGTCCACACTCAAGGAGCCCTCAGTCAACTCTGCCAGGTGAGCGTCGTCCACGTCGCTCACCATCCCTGGGGTGCGGGCATCCGCGTACATGGTGCATGGACACGGGGGTACATGGATACATGGGGGGACAGACACACGGGTACACAGACACGCGGGTACACAGACATATAAACAAACGGATATGCAAACACGCGAGTACACAGATGGGTGAGTATGCAGACGACACAGAGGTCCATAGGTAGTCAGACACACGGATAGACAAACACGTGGGTAAACGGGCACGCAGGTACACGGGCACGAGAACATGAGGGTATACGAGCACAAAAACACACGTGTACACGAGTACACGAACACATAGGTACATGACCACATGAACACAAGGGCAGGCAACTACATAAGTATATCGCATAAACAAACACAGAGGTATATGGACATACATACAGACACACAGGCATTAGGCAAGGGCATGCAGGTACATACATGTACAGATACAGACACACAGGTACAAACACATACAAGGACAAATGCACAAATGTACAAATGCACATTGGTCGGTGGATACACATGTATGCAGGTACTCATACAGGTGGGTAGGCAGGTGCACTGCACACACAGGGGTGAGACCAATGGGGACACACAACGATTAACAGGTACATTTACACACACGCATGCACACAGTGAGATATAAACGATTCTACCAAAGTGACAGACTCGCGTCTTACACGGAATCGGAGCGCGTGAAGAGGCATTCGCATAGAACCCACAGGAGTGTGTTACTGGGTGCCCTATACTTGTGTGTACATGCACGGAGAGACACGCGCGCACACACACACAGAGCAACAGCAATAGCGGCAGTAGCAAGCGAGCGAGTGAACCGATGCAAGCGAGGTACGGGTAAGCATCGGGGTGACTCAGAAGTTCATTCAGAGGTAACTACGGAGCAGTGATTAAGTTAACCAGAGCATTTAGCGAGTGCCAAGGGCTAGTTATCGGTTTCATCAAAAGATAGTCATTTGGTTCAGTGTACACTGCCATCCAGTTCAGTAAGAGCCAGTTGTCTGGTTCAGTAGAAACTGCAATCTGCTCAGAGCCAATCATTTGGTCCAGCAAAACGTTCCATTAATTTCACCCGAGGTGCTCATCTAGTTAAATAAAGGATGCTCATCTGGTTCAGTTGGAGCTAATAATCCGGTTCAGTGGGATCCGTCATTGGATTCACTTGAGATGGTCGCCCGGTCAATGCAGAGAGTGTCATTTGATTAACATATGTTTAGTCGGAGGTCATCGAGTTAAGAGCTGTCCTATTTTAGCTGGTTACCTGGTTAATAGCTGCCAACTGGTTCAAGTAAGAGCTGTAATTTTGTTCCATATAACCCATTATCCGGTTCCTTAACAGCTGGTCGGCATGACCTCTCAACAGCCTCGGTGCTCTTGGGTTAGGGCGTTACGTTAGTGAGTTAGTGAGCTGTACCCACTCAAGCGTTAGTGTCTTCATTAGGTGATCGTCTCGAGGAGGTTATAATGCGGCAGCTGGGGTTGGGCGGAAGGTGCTCAGTGTCGGCTGGAGGGGATCAAGGGTTGCTGGGAGGAGGGGGGTTGTTGAGGGAGGGGTGAGGAACCTTTTCCTTAGCGAGGGTCCCATGGGACTTTCAAATACCATTGCCGGGCCACACATCAGTTGACCCTAAACATTGATCAGGCTAGGACTGTATGCACTGTGTTCTCAGCATGACCAGAAAAACAACAGACAACGGGTGACTGAGCGCACTAAAATCAGAATCACGGTGTCGCCAGATTGAAAATATTCCCCTCCAGTACCCCGATTAGTGCCGCTAAGATGCCTCCAAGCGATGGATAAATATTATTGTTTGCGGGCCGTTTCAAAGTGGTAGACCTCACGCGAAGTGAGGTCGTGGGCCCTCGTGGGAAGCAGGTTCCCCACCCCTGGGTTAGGGTCAGGGGTAAGGTACGGACGGGGAAGGTGGGCCCAGTGTCAGGTGACGTGGAGAGGGGGGGGTTTGTGGGGTACGGGCGTGCGGTGGCGGCTGCGTTACCACGAGAGTGCCACAGTGCCCTGTGCTCGGGGGTGTTAATGTCGAGGTCGCTGTAAGCGTCGCCTGCCCGCTTGGGCACTCCCACTGGGCGTGCGGGGAAAATGGGGTAAGGCGGCGGTGGATGGGGGGGGAGGGTGCGGGGGGAAGGGAGAGAGAGACGAGAGTAAGACAGGGCAATAGACAGGAAGCGAAGAAGAGAGGAAGAGGCGGGAGGAGAGCAGCACAGTCAGGGATTGCGGATCGGGAAGAGATGGAAAGGCAGAAAAAGGGATTCGTCTTCAAGAGAGAAGTTGAGATAGCGTGTAGGAAAGAGTGGGAGAGAGAACAGAAACAAGGGATAGAAAAGGCAGGAAATTTCACAAAGGAGGACGGATAATGGAAGAGGCAGGCAAAAGTGAAGCGACGAGAGTGCGACAAAGGCAGAAACGCATGCACTCAGAAGACGGGGACCAAGAGGAAGAGAGAGCAGTAGAGAGAGACAGGAAGGCACACATGCTTATGGGACAAAAAACGGTGCACAATTCTCTGTTAGCGTGAAAGCTAGCATGCAGCAGCACACTACGGCACAACTCGGCTCAATACAGCACATGCCACGCCACAAAAATAATATTTAATCTTTATACAGTGGAACCTCGGTATACAACCGCTTTGGAATACGTCGAATTTGGTATACGTCGTGTTTTTTCGAGAGAAACATTTCTTTGGATACGACGTCTTGCTTGGGATACGACGCGCTTGCTAGAACTTGTATGGGTCGGGATGAGTCACGGCGTACAGTACCCGAGTATGCCCCGTTCACGACTGAAACAAAGCGAGAGGGGCAGGGGCGTGGGGGGCTGCCCCCATGGAGGGTGGAGCCCCGGGTCGAGGCACGCACGACGTGCGGGGTTGAGGCACGCCACGTGACCAGCGCAGCTGGCAACAGCGCGGTCACGTGGCTTCTGTAGGCATTTTTGTAATTAGTGTCTAAATTATTTTATACAACCCCATGAATGTATAATATGCCATAAAAAATATCATTTATTTTCCTCTGGAACGAATTATTTCCTTTCTCTTTATTTCTTATGGGAAAAATTCGTTTGGTGTACGTCATTTTCGGTACAAGTCCTACCTTCTGGAACGAATTAACGACGTATACCGAGGTTCCGCTGTATAGCGTAATTTGCGCAAATGCATCACACATCACTTCACAATCCGCAAGCATAGAGCAGCATAGATTACGATGTTTTCGGCTAATTAATGAGTATTCATTACATGCCACAGCTGAGCACCGTACAGCACAACACACACCGGTGCACGGTACCTTACACTGCAACAGGACAGCACAACAGCAATGAGAGCAGCATGTGGTGGGAAGGACACGTCGCTAGAAGGGACAATTGCCGATGGTCGTAACTAACGATGGAGTGACAGCCAAAGGAGGGAATGCAACCGAGAGGAAGTCCACCGAGGAGATGGCAGCGATCAATGCCGCTCATGTGCTGGTGGTGCTAAACGGATTTTAACATCGCAGAACCGTGAGAGATGGCGATGGCTTGCCGAGCCCTTCATCCAACAATGGATTGGCTGATGATGACGTCGATGATGTGTTACACGCAAAGGCTGCCTTTCTTAACCTGGCTAGATTGTGTTGGACTAGACGCTGTCATCGAGATACTATTAATACCTGTACTGTCGTCGTGGTGTAGGTCGCAGTGGTAAGTGTATGGGAGAAGCACACTGGGTGTTGAGCGCAACCAGGCAATGGCTCAATAATAACTGCTACTTAGGGCCAATGTGATACTGTAGGCTACTGCAAGTCTGTGAGTGGGTCTAGCTTACCGATGAGCTCAAACGAGAGGTCACTATTATCACCATTATCACCATTATCACGTGACTTTGAACCAACAAGATCCCTCAGATCCTCTGGTTCCAATCTTTTAGTCGTCTCAAGGGCCAGGACCAAAACTCAGGGAGAAGCAGCCTTCTTCAGTGTGCATGGTCCTCGCCTGTGGAACAGCTTGCCATTGATCTGAGGGCTTTGCAATCATTAAGCAATTTTAAGTTAAATCTAAAAACTTACCTTTTTAAACTTTCTTTTACTTAAGATTATTTTATTGTGTTATTTTTTTTTAATATGCCTTCGATAGGAATTTATTAGGATGCAATTTTGTTTGTATGGAAATTGCTTTTATTGTTATTTTGCTTTAGTCTTTTAACAATGTTTTAGTTGATCTGTACAGCACTTTGAATTGCATTTTTTGCACAAAATAGTGCTATAGAAATAAAGGTTTTATTGAATGATTGACCACCACCACAAAGTCCACCACAACTGTCACCACCACAATCACCATTACAATGACCACCGCCACCCACCACAAAGACCACACCAACTACCCACGACTGTCAGCTTCCCAAAGGCCACCACAACCACCGCAACAACCACCACCACCACGGAGACCGAGTGCTGTCACCGCTACCCCTCCAGGACCATGTTAAGTCACCCTTGTCTCCCTGGTGCTGATATTTGTATACTTACTATTAATATATAAATTTATGGCTGAATTGACCCAGAGGAGGCCCAGAACAGGTGTGGAAATCATGTGCCACTTCTGAGCATGGCGGGGAAAAGTTACACGGGTCGGCAACCAAAATAGCAAGAGCCATTTTTTCGAATTCTGTATAAAACTCGCTATTTCAAGATCCGCAATGCACGTGAATAGAAGACGGTCCTTAATGAATAAGGTCATGAAGCAGTCCTTGAAGAGCCGCATGCGGCTCCGGAACCCCAGGATGCCTACCCCTGTGCTCATCCTTGTACCACTGCTCCACAGACACGCGCAAAACGAACTATACACACAAAAAACCATTAACAATGACACACACACATACAACACAACCATATACACAACCGCACACACACAGACCCTCCCGGCCCCACCGCGAGCAGGCCGACGCTCCTACCGTGCTGTGGGGTGCATGGCGTGATGTCCTCATAGAAGAATCGCGTGGCTTCCAGCGCTGACTCTGTCTCCTCGTGCTCCGAGGGACTGAGAGCTGCACAACAAAGACAAAGATCCCCCATATAGCATTCACAGATTTTTGTTGCGAGTTAAACGACAAGTATTTAAAATAATTTTATGTTACCAAGTAAGGCCCACTGAGCTATAAAGCTATTTTTCGGCTTAATAAAGGGGCTTATCAAGTGGAAATGTATACCAACCAAATACACTGAACGCAAGTTGATTCTTAATGTGGAGCGAAAAACCGGAGTACCTAGGGAAAATCAACGCGACCACGACAGAGAGACGCAGACTCCAAATATACAGCAAGTGTCATCAGGGTTGGGATCGAACGCACGTCCTCCTGTATACCAGGCGAGGTATTTAACATCTCGCCACAGAAAATGCTGTTAGCAAGCACCTACAAAGGTTGGCACGGCACAGCACACGAGGAGATAGGTGGCCAGCACTACGCGCGGCTATCTGTCTCCCGATTGGCGATGTTTACACACCGCACCAGGTACTCAGTTGAGGCCCAGAACGCATTTCAGATAATCACCACTGAAGTTGGCCATGAGCGAGAATCGAACGCGGGTTGCCAGGTTCGTAGTGCAGCGAGTTATTTATTGTGCCACCGCCCCCCACACATATACATACATATACATACATATACACATCGGTACGTGTACATATATCCACTAACAAATGTTCAGACACACTGGAAAAAGTTTACTGGATAAACAAACCACATAAAGTACAAACCAATTTCAGCTTCAGTTGACCTCGCAAAGACCTAATGCTTACCTGGAAATGAATCAACACGACAATGTTACCTGGAGGAAGATGCAACTTGTAGAGGAGTTTCAGCTTCTCGGTCAGGTCTCCATGGTACATTATCCCTGTGGAAAACAAACACACGCAGGCTTTTATCTGTGTTACTGTTTGCGGTAGTACAGTGGTGAGCGGTAGTGCCATGGTGAGTGCACTGCGCTATGAACCCGGTGACCCGAGTTGAATTCCCGTTCACGACCAAAAACAGTGGCTAATAATAAAACTGGTATTGGGCCTTGCCTAGGGGAGACAAAAGCTGCCAGACATGATGTCGGCCACAAACCCCACCGTGTGCTGTGCCTGCCTTCATTAGTGCTCGCGAAAAGCACTTGCCCCAATAGTCGTGAAAAGGCTATACGGGGGATCCTTTGTCTTTGTTGCTGTATGCAAACATCTATTTCAAGGGTTCCCCTCATCACCGCGGCGGCGAGCGTCTCACCGAGCGCGCTCACAAACTCCTTGAAGTTGATGAGGCCGTCGCGGTTGGTGTCGAGCAGGCGAAAGAGGCGCGGCGCGAGCGGCGGGGGGTGCGGCCCCCGCACCCACGGCGACAGCGCTGCGAGCAGCGAGTGGAGCTGCGCCGCATCCACACGGTACTGCTCTAGGTAGGGCAGGCTCGGGTCGTGCCGCTCGCTGACCGGCACCGCCGTGCTCCCGCCGTCGCCATCGCTGCCGCCGCCGCTAACACCAGCGCCACCATTGCCGGTGGTGGCGGCGGTGGCACTTCCCCAGTAACAGCTGCGCAGGTGCTCCCACTGCGGGGGCACAGGAGTGGGGGAATGGGGGGACCGCAGGGGGAAGCAGCAGCATAGAGGGCTGAGCAGCTGTACTATGATTCAAGTAATTCTCCACCAGTGGAGTGTGATGGCTACCGCTGAGAGAAGCAGGTGAAGCTGACCGTGTCCAGAGTGTGATCTAGTGATGTACTTGGTGCGAGGGGTGTGGTGTGGTGAATGGGATGTAGCGAGGGGTACACAGTGCCCAGAGCGTGGTGTAGTAATGTACTTGGTATGAGGGGTGTTGCGTGGTGAGTGGTGGATGACGCGAGTGGTGTGGTGCGGTATGGTGATCGGCACGGTCAAGTGCAATGGTCCCACCTTGAAGAGCACAAAGAGTTCCTCTAGCTCTTCCAGAGTGAACTGAGTCTCAGTCATGATGGAGCGAACCTGGCACAAAGATACAGACAAAGCGAAGAATAAACATACAGTTTGCACAGACTCTTGGGGCAAGTGCTGTTAGTCAGCAACTATGATGGCCTACATGGCGCAAAATGTCTGGTCGCATTTCTTTCCACAAGATTGATGTTCAAGGTCCTCATTTAAGGCGGAGTAGACCTAGGAGAAGAGACCCAAGACAGGTTCGAATATCACTCGACACTGATGTTAGCAGTGGTCGGGAATCAAACCTAGGTGGGCCAGGTTCGTGATGCAGTGCGTTAAAAACAACACGACCACTCCATTAACCCAGGAAAGCCTCATTGTGCCTCAAGGTTGTCAGGTTCAACTGGCGAGTGCTTTGGCTTCTCGTGGGTGGAGTCCAGAGTACCCAGAGAAAGACTACACATGGGCAGAAGGTACCGCTCGATTCAACCCATTGCTGTGGAGCAGTGGTTCTTAACCGGGGTTACGTGGACCTCTAGGGGTAACGTGGAAAAGTCCCAGGGGGTACATGAGGTGATTTATAAATGTGTGAATTTATATCATATATGATGAAAGTCATTGGTGAATAATCATGTATGAATCTGTCAATATACTAAAACTACAATAAAATGTGAATCCATATGGTAACCTAGAAAGATATAAAAGACCTTTCTAAATGCATTGATCGTAAACAATGTGGTTTCCAAGAGTAACCAGCGAGCTCGAACAGATTACGTCATGCATGCAGAACGTCCGTTGATTTTTTTATTTGATTGCAGTTACGAGCGTGTTAGGATACCTCAAAAAATGGACAATTGGTAAAAATATGAATCTTCATTATTCATACATTTATTTCTCAGAACCACGTTGGGTCAGGCAAGGAGGTATTCGGTTGAAACACAATTCAACAAGGGGTACAGTAGCTAAAAAAGATTGAGAGCCACTGCTGTAGTGCCATCTCCTGGCCACCTCGCAGCCCACGCCTACGACATCTGGCATTCCCAGACAGTCGTGCATCCAAATATTAACCAGTAATAGCATCTTCCAAGTGTCTGTTTCGTTTCTAAGATGTGACGGGATCGAGTACATTGAGGGTGATTGTATTATAATAGGCAAATTATAATTGACGCTATCATTTTAAGAACCCTAATCACTCTAGGGTTTAGGTCGATGATGAGTGAGATGCTTGTGGTGGTGAGGTTGTTTGTGGGTCTTACAACGTTTCTCTTGGTGGTGTCCTCGAGGGTCTGGATGACTCTCAGACGTTGCCTGAACCTCATCTGCTCTATCACCTCAGCCCGGATGCAGCCGAACCTCTGCAGGCCACACCACGCAGCGCCGCACAGCAGTGAGTCACAGCTCATGGAACAACACCAGACTCGTATACTCATTCAAGTTTACTTTGTATCGCCAGGTGAAAACTTAACAGATCAGGATATTATAATTTGCAAGAGTGACCTGTCCGTAGGGGGTGCTGATTGCCTGTGTGTCATCTGGAATTAGTCCATTTGCAGGTAATTTGAATTTGACAAAAGTTGGACCCCAATGCCCACACACAATGGCCTCATCTTGCACACGTCGGAGGATCTTTATCGCCCACTGTGAAGTGGATTGCGCATAGAAATAATACTGTTACACCCCGCAGCAATAGCCAGGGCGGCCGCTGGATTCAAACCGTGAACCTTTGCAACAAGTGGTGAATCCGCTACCGCTAAGCCATGTCCCCGCAAATTAACCGCCACAGGGAACCAGCACCACAGTGACAAATCTTCTCTTTACCTTTTCTCCCAATTACATTCCAACTGTGCCATTGGTGCCATCACCAGATGAAGACATTTCCAAGCAGCTAGCAGTGCATCATCCTGTGTCAGAGAATGACCCCGGAATATGACAGCACTGAACTACTTTCGAGGTCACCGCAGAGAATGATTGCCGCCGGTGTACGTGGATGGCTATTCAACTCAAGTTGCTGGATTTGAAGTGCAAACCACTGCATCACCATTCCACACCCACACACATGTACATACAAATACACACGCGAACACTCTCTCACTCAAACTGAACACAAGCACACTTGCACACACCAACTTCTCACACTTGTACAAGCACAAAACAACAGCCGCCATTCACCACTAAGTGGCAGTGACGTGACCGCAGTGCTTCTGCCAGGTGCACTGAGGCCACGTGAAGTGTCGAAGGCTTGCTGTCAGGTCAGTGAACAGACTCAGGTGCCATGGGTTGACTGACTGAGATGACCGGCAGATGCACCAGCTGTGCACCCTACTGTACCAACTTGCTGCATTTTAGCCGCCCAGCACTCTGCTCGTTGTTGTGAGCATCGTTCCTCTACCCATGTCAGGGGGTGACTGCCTTTAACTGCCCAATAGCGTCCTTCACGAGCCTCCTCCATAGAGGCTGATCTGGACACCACTGGTACCAGTAATTGCCAAATCCACTGAGCTCCACATCCTCCTGTACCGCATCAGTCCACCTCTTTTCCAGCCCGTGTCACTACCCATTTAGACCCCTCTATCCGGTCAAAAACACAAACACACTTGTGCGCATACATGCTCACACTTACATGCACTCGCGCAGACCGGCATACACACACACCCGTACACTCACGTACACATGCTCATGTTCATGCCTCGGACCTCATAAGACGTGCGGATGAGCTGGAAGATGTCCACTTCCGGCTGAGGCTCGGTGTTCTCGGACAGCAGCGCGTGCAGATGCGTTATCGGTGGCAGCGTGCTGTCCTTGTTGGTGACACTGTCCAGGTAACTGCACGCACACGCACGCTTGTGAGGACACGAGAACTCACATAAAGCCGCACGCACACACACAAAAACACTGCACAATACATTGGCACGCGCACAAACATGCAATGCACGACTACGCACAACACAAATACACGGACAGACATGAACAAAAGCACATGCGCGCGTGCACATAAATACACGTACGTACACGCAGGCACACAATTACACACGCATGCACATACACAAACACGCTCTCAAACGCGCGCGCGCACCCATACACACACCTGCCCAGGATGGTCATGGCCTCGCCATCGTCGTGGCACGACAGCAGCTTGCTCATGTTGGCGTGCAGCACGGCCAGGGCCAGCTGGAAGATCATGCGCACCTGCAAGGTGCCGGCATCAAACACGCAGCACGCGATAAACACCACACAGCCCCGAGTGAGCGGGGTAGGTGAGTGGGTGGGTGGGTGAAGGTTGGTTTGGGTGGGTGAGGTGGTGGGTGGTTGTGTGAGGGGGTGGATGGGTAAGGAAGAGGGTAGGTGGGTGGGTGGGTGAGGGGAATGGTGGATATGGGTGGGTGAGGGGAATGGTGGGTGAGGGGATTGGTAGGTGGGTAGGTGGGGGAGGGAGGGCGGGTGGGGGAGGGCGGGCGGGTGGGGGAGGGCAGGCGGGTGGGTGGGGGAGGGCATGGGCGGGTGTCTGGGTGAGAGTGTGGGTGGGTGAGTCACCCCGTCCAGCATGAAGCAGTCGACCACACAGACGGCGCTGGAGAAGGGCAGCACGGACAGGAAGAGCGTGAGGAACCATGACAGGGAGATGGTGGAGATGACACCCAGGTCCTGTCAGGGAGGATCATCCGTATCATCACAACCATCATCATCATCACTACCGCCACCATCATTATCACCACCACTACCACAAACATTGACATGCCCCTCACCATCATCACCATCACTGCAATCATCATTATTCCCATCGTAATTACCATATTTGCCATAATCACCACCATCACTGCCTACATCGTCATCCACATCACCACGCTCATTACCAGCACCACCATCAATGTCATGTCTACTATGATTCAGCATTGGCAGGACCATCACAATCAGTACCACCATCACTGGCACTGCAGGGTGTGTTCACCTGCATCCGCTCGCACAGCTGGGGCAGGTGCTCCCGTGTCAGCTCCTCAAACACGCCCTGGTCCACAAGCGCTCCTGGATTCCGGAGCACAAAGACAAGACAAAGACCCCCCGTATAGCCTTAATAGACTGTTGGGGCAAATGCTGTTAGCGAGCACCTATGAAGGCCGACGCGGCATAAGAGGCGGTGGGTGGCCAGCACCACGTCCAGCAGCCTTTGTCTCCCCAGTGGCGATGTTTACGCACTGCACAAGGTACTCATTTGAGGCTGAATCGACTTAGGGGAAGCCTAGAACCGGTTCATTAATCGTCATGTTGGCCGTGAACAGGAATCGAACCCGAGTTGCCAGGTTCATAGCACAACAAGCTAACTGCTATACTACCGGTCAAGGAGCATGCACACACCATTACGCATGAGTACAGCACGCACACACACACACACGAGCACTCACGAGCAGAGGATACACACACAAGCACATATGAGTATGCATTGAATACAGCACACTCACAAACACAAGCACACACGAGCAAAGGATACACACACGAGCATGCACGAGTACGTACGCACGAGCAAACGTACGCAGTGTTTAAACTACAGCAGGTGTTTATACTACAGGCTGATGTCTGGAAGGATCAGGAGGCAGAGAAAACAAGCAGACGAAGCAGAATAAATAAATGAATGGAGCGGAAGAGACAGAGAGTAGAGAGAGGAAGTCATTCGGGTCAGGGTAGCGGACATACCGACGACGCGCGTGTTGTAGTAGTCGGGCAGCATGCGTTCACACAGAGCCACCAACAGCCAGAAGGCCTCCTCCTCCTTCGTGTACAGAAGCAGCACGGACGTCACGATGTTCATGGCCTGTGGGCGAAGGGACGGAGAGGGGGACCCAGTCAAACCACTGTGATGTCCAGCTCGCAGCATGCGCAGCACAATGTCTGCTGCATTGCTCATGTCATTGTACATTGTGACTTTGGGGCGCTCTGTAAACATAAATTGCATTGGGCAGACAACACATTGAAAAAACAATGAATGCGACGCAATAAACAGCACTGCAAACTGCGCAAATCATCACACAATGCAGTGCACATGAATGCGTGCGTGCCTATATATGCATGAATATATACTTGTATGTGAGCATACATGTGTGTGCATGCCACCTGGCCGTACTGTATCTGCAACAGGCGTTGCAGTGTGCGTGTGTTTATGTGCGCTTGCGTGTGTGTGTGCGCCCATGCGTGCGTGGGGAGTGGTAGTGCAGTGGTTGGCACGCTACACTACGAACCCAGTGAGCCGAGTTTGATTCCCGCTCATGGCGGGTCGACTCAGCCTCAAATGAGTACCAAGTGCAATGTGTAACTTCGTTACAAGGCAGCCAAAGGCAGCTGGCCCTGGTGGTGGCCACCCACCCCATCGTGTGCCGTTCCAGCCTTCACGGGTGCTCGCAAGCAGCGCTTTGCCCCCAAAAAGTCTATTAAGGCTACACGGGTGATCGTTGTCTTGTATCTGTGCATGCGTCACCTGGCAGTATCCGATGGAGGGGTTGCGGTGTGCGTAGGCAGTGAGCACACGGCGCAGCGCGGCGATGCCCATCTCTGACTGGAAGGCCGGGTGCTCGGGTAGCGAGCGGTGCAGGTCGCGCTCGATCTCGTCCGTCACGAGGCTCATGCGACCCATGCTGCTGCGCACGAGCTCCGCGTAGTAGCCTGGGTACGAGTTCATCTCGTGGATCGCGCCTGCGCCACATCAGGCGACGTCAAGGTCAGTGCGTCGCACCTTTCAACGCAGGGCCACGTGCGGGGTTTTACGGTCTGGCCGCCGAATTTTTCTAGGAAGATGCAACGGTTTTTTTGTGTAGCCACGCTCAACTCAATCAATGGAAAAGTGAAAGCACACGACTGAAACCACAGATTACACCTCAATTCTGGAACACAATCCAATGCGAGAGTAGTTTCTACATAGCACAGTCATAAACTGAGACTGCCTGGCATGTGACGTGTCTGCAGCGTGGACACTACAGCTAACAACAAGTCAGTATTGCTTTGCACGTTGTTCAGTTTGTTATCTTGAGTGCAATTTAGTATTTTTTCCACCAAATTTTTTGGGTTTCCACAATCAACTTAGTCATTATGTGCGGGAAGCGATACGACCGCCCACGCTAATTCCAAGACCGCCACCCCCCTCCCACCACAATCACCCCACACGCACCAGAGAAGTGCATCCAGAGTTCCCCGCGCAGTGACTCAGGGATCCCGCGCATGACGAGGTCGCGTGTGCGCTCCGTGCGGTACATGCACACGCCGCGGCCAAACTCCGCAAAGTGGATGCTCCACGACTCCTCCTTCATCAGCTCCTTCGCCTGGGGGGGGGGGAGGGGGGGGGAGGTGGCGGGTGGGTGAGATGAGGTGGAGAGGAGGTCAAAATAAGGTGGTAGGGACAGCAGCAGCTACAGGAAAAGTGACGGAAGCAGATAAACAACAGCAAGAAGCAGCAGAAGTGGCAGCAGTAGCAGCGCGAGAAGCAACAACAGCAGAGCATCAACAGCAAAAGCAGCAGATAAACAACAGAATGCACAATGAGCATTTAAAACAATTGACAGCAGCAGCAACACAAGCAACAAAACCAATAACAGAAGCAGCACGAACAGCAGCGAAGGTAACACAATCAGAGACCATGTCAGCAATTGCAACGACAGGACAGATTAACACATCACTGCTAAGACAACATCCTGTATTGAACCATGTGGGATCCCATAGAGCTGGGGATACCCAAGTCCCATGCAGAGGTGGAACTGGCTCAGTGGCGGCCGTGGGGGCAGCGTTGTGTGGCTAACGAAGTGAGGGGGTGGGGGGGGGGGAGAGGTGGAGGGGGGCGGTGCCCAGTGATTGTACCTGCTTGAGGTCAATGGTGTGGCTGTCCGAGCGGTGAAACATGGTCATCAACGCCTCCGTGGTCTCCTGGGGTGCGTTGCTGGGTGTTGCCCCTCGTTCTATAGCAACAGCAGCAGCAACAGCAACAGCGATAGCAGTAGCAGCAACAACATGAGTGGTGGCATCAACAAATAGAGGTGCCACAGAGCCAGAGAGCGGAAGACAGTGATGAATGGTTATTAATGGTTGACTAAGGTTGAGTGTTTCGCCAGTTATTTCTGCATAAGGTTAAGTGACCTATATTAACAAAATTGTGCAGTGCAGCAAAATCCATTGTTGTAGTGTACTATGCTCCCCACCTTCACAAAACGCACCGACCAGCGCGGAAAATATGATCGAATCACCCCGATGGCCCACACGGCAACGCATGCACACTAGCTATCGCTGCTACTTCGCAACTACGTGGACAGCACCGCAGGGTATGCGGCAGTGGCGCACCTGACTATCCACGCCAGACTGCCGCGGATCCAGCGTCAGCGCCGTTGGGCTGCGGCTGGGAGCCCTGCTGGGAGGACGGCGTGCCCGCGGTCGGCGTGGGGGCAACCGCCGCACCCTGCTGCTTGCCCACGGCGGAGCTGCTGCGCAGCAGCTCGGAGATGCGCTGCAGCAGGAAGGCGCGGTCGCGCAGGTTGGCGAAGAGGAAGTTGGTGCGGGAGCGCGTGCTCACGCTCAGCGGGCTCGGTAGCACACTCGAGCTGTCCGCCTTCTCCACCACCGTCACCTGGGGACGATGGGGCGACGGAGGGAAGGAACGGAGATGATGTCTCGTAGCACGACCTCGCTCGTTCACTCGACAAAGGAGAGATTGGCTCGACCATTCATCAACGCGCTCGCTGGCTAAAAACGCATTACTCGCTCGCTCAATCACTCGCCCCTCCACTCTCTCCTACCCCTCTACCTCCTCCCTGCGCACCTCTCTGAGTGGGATGACAAGGCTGCAGAGGCCCTCCTCGCGGCTGGAGAAGCACAGGTAGTTGGAGGAGACGTAGAGCTGCCCGGCGGCGTGCATCTTGCTGAAGGGCAGCCACAGCGTGCAGTCCGTGTGTCCGTCGAGCCTCTCGTCGCGGGGCAGGCGGAACTGCTGAGCAGTATGCCTCGCTCTTCACGCGCGCATCCAGGTCTCTGCATGCCCAAGGGCGCGCACATGCACACAAACAAGAGACAAGGATTATCCACGCATGTACACGCACCCAAGTGCACAAAACAAAAACCCATATAGCGTGCACAGACTGGTGGAGCAAGTGTTATTAGCGAGCACTTACGAAGGCGAGCACTGCACTCAAGGGAGTGGCGTGTTTTCCCAGTGCTGATGTTTACCCACTGCATGCGGTACTCATTTAAAGATGAGCTGGCGGAGGGGAGGCCCACAACTTGTTCTGAAATCATTCACCACTTGTGTTGGCCGTGGCGAGGAATGGAACTAAAGTCAGCGGGTTCGTAGTGCGGTGAGCTATCCATTGCTCTAGCACGAAGGCCCCGCCGCTCCCCACAAAACAAAGAGCTCCCCCATAGCCATACAGACTTGTTGGGTAAGTGCTGATTAGCGGTACGGCGCACAAGGCGGTGGATGTGGCTAAAACCACTGAGGTACGCAGATCAATCAACTAGTCACATCCAAAAGAACCTCCACTCCACCCACTCCATCCGACACTCTAAGCTACATGCTCAATGTATGAATTGTTATCGAGTCATTCATAATGAATTGAAATACGTTACTCTACTTGTAATTTCAGCAAACAATGGTGTTGTAATTATAACTGGACCCCACTTCTGCCCATCACCAATCCAGGACTACCCCGCACTACTATAGCAACAGCAGCGAGAAGTCACACAAGGTGGCGTCTCACCGCTTGAGCGCCGACACCTTGCGCGGGGACCTCGTGTTGCCCCCGCCGCCCGCCCCGCCACCCCCCCCCGCAGGTCCCCCCCCGCCGGCGCCGCCACCACCACCAGCAGCGGCCCCAAGGCCCCCGGGGAGGGACCCGGCACCAACAAGCCCACCGCCCGCAGCTCCGCCACCGCCACCGCCAATGCCGCCGCCACTTCCGCCGCCTGCACTGGCGTCCATCTGGGAGGCGCTGGAGGAGCCCGGGGCGGCGTCGCCGCTGTTGAGCAGGCGGCGCACGGCCATGTCGGCGAGACGCTCCATGAGACGGAACGTCTCACCCACGGAGAGGAACATGGAGAAGAAGAGGTCGCCGTCGCGCGTCGCCACGCGTACGCTCTCGGGCAACACCACCGTGGCGGTGCGCTCCAGGCACATCACGTCCGCCCAGCGCACCACTAGCTTGGCTGATGGCAGTGGGGCAAGATTTGGAACGAGATGGGGGTGATGGCAGTGGGGATTGAGTGAGAGGCAGTGGGAATATAATATGATGGTATGGGTGGATATGTTGGGTGGCATTGAGTAAGGACAGGAGTGTGTAATAAGAGGTGGCGGGTGGCACATGGGTGGCATGGGCCATGAGAAAGCAGCAATGGACATGGGGGAGGGGCATGAATAAGCAGAAAAAATCATCAGTAAACTTTCATAGGTGAGAAGCCCATACCACTGAGCTACCTCTAAAATTCCTTCAAGTGATGTCTAGTCTACATACCAGAGGGCAACATTTTCCTACCTGCTCTTCAACTGAAAGAGTAATGTTGATCGCATGACAATTAAGCTGACATTTTAAATTCTCAGAGCTGAAATTTAGCTAAATTAAGTGCAAACCCAAACTTTGGGTGATTGGTCACCAAATTGAGACCATCATCAAGTCACCACATTTGGGAACTCAGTTTAATCATAAATCTATAAACGTGTCTTGGTCTCTAGATGAATATCATTGTGCATCTATGGGTCTTCATGTGAGTTTGTGGGTCTCTATGCAACTCATTGCTGATCGGGCTGAGCATCCTCTACTCACTACAGCTTAAGAAACCAGTTTAACCGTGGTGGGCTAAAACCTCATTTCAAACACTCTATATCAGCGGGTGCCAGTTCAGTGCTCTGACCTCTCAGCCACCGGGTCATCTCCACGCCACCTTAACGTTTAATTACGACCGACCCCAGGGGCGTGTGGGGTGTGTGGGACTGCACCCACCCTCCTTGCCGAGCAGCAGCGAGTAGAAACAGATGTGGTTGACGCTGAGGTAGAGCCAGCCCTGGCGCGGCACGCGGCCCTTCCAGTAGCTGCAGGAGTAGTAGTTGACAAGGCGCTCTTCCTCGGGCATCCCGAACAGCTTACGGAACTTGGCCACGGCCTCCATGAACTTATCCGAGTCCTGCTCGGCTCCCGCCGCACCGGCCGTGCCGCCGCGCTGCCGCCCCTCCTCTGCCATTATACCCTGTGATGCAACGGAGCGAGCGGATACATGGGTGAGCGTGTGTGCGACAAAAGTGGGAGCGGTGGCGGAGTGGTGGAAACACTGCGCGATGAACGCAGCGCCCCGATTTCATTCCTGGCAACAACTAACATCCATGGCGAGTGATATCTGAATCAGTTGTGAGCTTGCCCTTGGTCGACTCACTGCCAGAGTTAATAGGTTCTTGCGAGCAGCACTTAGTCCAACAACCAATATAGGTTATACTTGGGCGCTGCAGTGGCGAGATGTTAACTACCTTGTCTGGTATGCAGGAGGTCATGGGTTCGATCCCGACCCTAACACCTATATGTTTGAAGTTTGTATGTTCTCCCTATGGTTGCGTGGATTTTTCTCAGGGTCCTCCGGTTTTTCCCTCCACATTTAGAAAATTGCATTTAAGAGTATTTGGCTGCTATACATTTCCACATAAGCCACTTTGTTGAGCTGTTATTTGTGGCCAGGTCACTACTGAAAAGAGATACATAGCTCAGTGGGCCTTACCTGGTAAAATAAAAAGTTTGAATCATTTTTTTAGTTTAAATACAGGGGGTTTCTTTGTTATTGTTTAGTTTGTGACAAAGCGGGGAGCAGCGTTGCAGCAGTCAGTAAACTCAGAGTCCCGAGTTTCGAGCCAAGGCAAACCTTAGTGGTGCATGGAATCGGAACTGGTCATGTGGCCTCCCCTAGGTGGCCTGATTTGTAGTGTAGTGTTGTGGTGTTTGGTATATAATGTGGTTTAGTGTAGTGTTGTGGTTTCTGGTATAGTATTGGGTTGTAGTCTCCGCTTCTTCTGACGCGGTTATCAGGCTTGACCACCTGAATTAGAGATTTGTTATTGTTGCTCTGCATCTACATCAGACATACGAAAGAAGAAATTCATGTATCGTGTCTGTGTGTTGAACATGCACGACAAAGAAGTAGTCAGACTATTTTTCGTCCAATAATTGACGAATCACACCAGCTCTCGTGTAGTGTGTAATGTCGTGTGTGGTGCAGTGTGCGTATTGTGTTATTTATTTTATCTTTATAATGTGTCACTATTATGTGATGTAGTGCGTCAGATTATATTGTGGGGAATGGGGGTGACGCAGTTAGCGTGCTGCACTACGGATCTGGCAACCCGGGTATGATTAGCGTTCACAGCAAACACCAGTAATAATTATTTGAAGCGGTCCTGGGCCTCCCCTAGGTCGACTCAGACTCAATTATTACTTGGTACAGTGTGTAAACATCGCCACTAGGGGGACAAAGGCGGTCAGGCGTGGTGCTGACCACCCACCCTCGTGTGCCGTGCCGACCTTCATAGGTGTCCGCTAACAGCACTTGCCCCTACAATCTGTTAAGACTATACGGGGGATCTTTGCCATTGTGATATATTAGTAGGGCAGTAACATCGTGTGCAGTGCCATGCGTGGTTGCTGTGTCCACCTGCACTTTGCCCTTGACGAACTCCGTGACATCCTCCTCCGTTTCGAACACGCTCAGCGTCTGCAGCAGGTTCTGTTCCAGCCAATCCCAGTGCCGCGTTGCCTCCTGCCGAGAGCTTCCTGCACGGCACAGCGCAGCAACGCACTGCCTTTCCGCAACACCCAAGTATCCCTGGAACCCAGTGGCGCAGCATGGATTGGCATGGGCTCCGGTTCAAGAAATTAATTGTGTCAAATATCCATTCTCTTCATAGCCCAGATCAGGGGTTGGCAACCAAAAAAACAAGAAGAGCCATTTTTTTCGAAATCGGTAAGAAAACTAAATATTTCTAGAACCGCAACGAATGTTAATACACGAGATGGTGGCCCTAAATAAATAACGTTACGAAGCAATCCTTAAAGAGCCGCACGTGGCTCCACAGTCGCAGGTTGCCTTGACCTCTGTTACCCACGGACCCTGTGCATACTCAATGAAAACAGCCATGTTTGAACCCCAAAACCCAACACCATAGTTATCTCAAAACCCAATTACCTTTGATCACTGGAACAGTCACTAAGGAACCCTGGGATTTCAGCAACACCCAGAACTCCAGAACGCCAGCGATCATAAATCCTCAACCCCAAATGCCAGAACCCTGGCGATCAAAACCAAGGAATCCACAACTCCTTCCACTCTTAGAACCCTTCAACCACTGTGAAGAGAAATTTAGAAAACGTGAAATTACGTATGTGAGCGTGAAAGAAAGTGCATGTACATGGGTATACATGCTTGTGGGGAGCGGTAGCACAGTCGGTTGCGCGTTATGCTACAAACCTGGCAACCCAAGTTCAGTTTTCCGCTCACGGCCAACACCAGTGAAAATTATTTGAACCAGTCCCGGGCTTCCCCCTAGGTCGACTCAGCCTAAATTGAGTACCTGGTGTCATGTGTAAACATTGCTACTAGGGAGACAAAGGTGGCCGGGTGTGGTATTGGCCATCCATCTCTTTAGTGTGCAGTGTTGGCCTTCATAGGTGCTCGCAAACAGCACTTCCCCAACAGTCTGTTAAGGCTATATGGGGATATTTGTATATTTGTTTGTCTTTGTATGTGAACTTTATCAGTAATATCGGAATCCTAAAAGCTTGGAACCCCATACAACCTGACTCAGCGCTCCAAATAAAAGCTAATTACCGAGAATTTTAAGCATTTAAAAAAACACTTGAATTAAGGATGATGATGTTTAAATTTAATGTTTCACAATACATATAGGGAATGCTCTGCACAGATTGAGTTTGCGTGAGAGACTAACTGAAGAGTGTTCGGTGAAGGCACAGTCGCATGATCCTCGGGACTCGTGAGAGTGCAACTAGGAAAATACATAACGACTAAACCACAGTACTTAGTTTTTGCTTTTATTGGAGTAAAATGTTTCAAAAGACACTCATTGAGGAACTTACTCAAGTCTTCTTCCTTCCTTTTCACAGTATTATTGTTAGACCAACTTCATGTACAGTAGACCAAAGTAACATTGCAATACATATGCAAGGCTCTATACAATGCATAAACCATACAAAAGAATTAAAGATTTTCCAGTATTTATGTAAACTGCTGATTACTTCAAGGAAATGTAACATTTTATCTCCAGAAAATGCATTTTAAATTGTGCCAAAATTGGAGGGTAAATTAATTAAAGACTCCAAAGCTTATCTGGAATGCTGGCCTCATTGATTCGAGACAATGATCTGAACCCTGAACGTGACTTAAAAAACCCAGTGACCACCCACACGTAACCTGATGGGTTTTTGTGTAGTCACTGACGATTGGGCAGAGACAATTAATTTACTACACTTGAGGGCCTAGTTTAATCTAAACTAAACTAAAAACTAAACTATTTTTTTTATCAGGTAAAGCCCACTGAGCTATACAGCAATTTTTCAGAAGCAATCTGGCCACACATGATATCTCAAAGAAGTGGCTTATCATAATGGCCATTTATAGCAGCCAAAAACTCTTAAACTCTTGATTATAAATTTGAAGGGAAAAACCGGAGAACCCAGACAAAACTCCACGCGACCACAGGGAGAACATACAAACTCAAATTATATAGGCGTCAAGGTTGGGCCAAACCCACGACCTCCTTATACCAGGTGAGATAATTAACATATCGCCACTGTGGCACCCATCACCTCGATTTGTACCCAGTCTCAACAGTATCAGCTCACGGAGTATCTACCCTCTAAAGACCCTGCCCCCCGAGCCATATTGGTAGTTCAAGAAAAACAAAACAGGAATTATTAACCTGATTTTCCAGAACATTCAGCCTGGAGGTAATCATGAAAGAATATGGATGAACCGCCCGGGCTCGTTTTTGGAGGGAGGTACGGCAATGCCACCGGACATCCAAAACGCGCCGGAGTGTCCTTCAATTCTGTGGTCTGTGCGAGAAAAAAAGCCCATTCAGGCTTGCCTTCCCACATTATCTAAAATTAGTTTCTTTACTTATTATTTTTATTTATTCTATTACCATTCCTGTTGATCTATGCCCCCTGTACTGTTCCCATTCTGCTGTAATTAGCATTGATGCCTACTTTTATTGATGGCGATATTAACAGGTAAAATAAACATTGATAGATTGATGCTGCGTGGGCACCAGGGTTGCCTTAACATCGTGACAATGACACTGGTAGATCGTACGATATAAGTTCCATGATGATAGTATTGGCCGTTTTTTTTATAAACATTGCAAAATCATTGCTCTTTATTTAAAAAATATTCCTGAAAATTATTTGTGAAATAACAAAGCAGTTAACCATCTGAATAAATTGTTACATTATCCCCATTAAACATGTTTATTTTCCTGCATCATAACTTAAAGTAGGCCTCAAATATTGTCACAGTGGACGTCACGATTTATTGTGTAACTTACCGCATTGTGTGTTTTAAGATTTATAGATCGTCATGTTGCAATGATTATACTTACAGCAAACTTGTGTTGAGTGAATTACAGTTGAATGACTTTGAACATAATCTTTATTCATGGTGAAAGTAAAGAAAAGCACAAAACATATGTCATGTACAAAGTAATGGGAAAGTGAGATCCTAAACATCTTCATATTGTGTTAATTGATTCGATATGGCATCGTGAAAAAACGATATCGTGGTGAACCTAGCGGGCTCTCAGTGGCACTCACCGGTAGCAATGGCCCAGTAGACCTGCGACTCGGGCGTCTGGTGCAGCACACGGTACGGGCTGATACGGGCGCTCGAGTCCAGCACCACGTCCAGGGTGCCCACCAGCAGGCCTAGTTTGGGGCACGCGCAGACACGGACACATGCACGCTTGTAACCCACACGATAGGGAGTACACAGAGCAGACTCGACAGGCGGCCCTTGTACTACAAACCACTACACATCATACAACACAATTCCATGCCACTCACTACACACGACAAATAGTATTTTTGGGCAAGGGGCTGTTCGTGAGCACCCATGGCTGGTGTGGCACACGAGAGGGTAGGTGGCCAACACCACGCCCGACTACACACCACCAAACAAAGACTAGGATCCCACGTATAGACTTAACACACTGTTGGGGCAAGTGCTGTTAGCGAGCACCAATGAAGGCCGGCACATCACACGAGAAGGTCGGTGGCCAGCATCACATCCGGCACTCTTGGTCTACTGAGTGGCGATGTTTACACATCGCACCAGGTACTCATTTGAGGCGGAGCCCATTTAGGAGTGGCCCAGGATTGGTTCAGATAATCAGCCCTATCGAAGCTGTGAGCGGGAATCGAACTCGCATCGTTGGGTTCATAGCGCAACGCGCTAACCGCTACACTACGGCTCCCCACACTGCACCATACACCACACCACTACAAATCACTACAGGCTGTACACACAGCAGACCAGCCCAATGATGTAAGCCAAGGGCAGGAATTGATCCACGTCCCTAGGTATGTTATATGCTACCCACTCACTGTACCACCACTGCCACAGATAAATATTATTTTACATAGAGGCTCACAGAAATACACTATGTACATATGCATAATTATGCACAGAGATGCATGGTAATGTTGAGAAATTAAAAGGATACAAGGGAATTACACAGGGGGTAGAATCCTATTTCTGGAGGGCCCTGCATTGGGATGTTACCAATCTGCTTGATAAGCATTTTTCACGTGGGAGAACGAGATTTGGAGTACCAGAGGAGACCGCACCGTACATAAGAGTGGGTAAGAGTAAACGCTGAGCACAGATAGATGCAATAACCCACTCCCGTTCTGCCACCTCCTGGACACCTGACAGCCTATTATTGTTGTTGCATGTGTAGGCTTTCAGGCACACAGGTGTATGGCACAAAAACGGCAGCCATTTGCCACTAAGTGGTGGTGACGTTAACACAGCGCTTGTGCCAGGCTAGGTGCACTTTAACGCCACGTGACGTGTAAATGGCTCGCTTACTGTTAGTATTATGGGTTGAATGAGATGACTGCCAATACAACTGTGCCAACTTGCGTTGTAGCTTATTGTTTGTGAGCGTTGCCCCTCTGCCGTCCGTTGCTGGAGGGTGACTGTCTCGAACTGCCTAGTAGCTTCCTTCATGAGCCTCCTCCACAGAGGCCGATCTTGACATTGATGGTACCAGTCTTCAGCAAGCCTACTCAGCTCCACATCCTCCTCTACCACATTAGCCAATCTCTGCTCAGGCCCGTGCACTGATCATTTAGCCCCTCTATCCAGCCAGACAAAAGATCCTTGGGGATGCGATGGCTGGGCATAAACAGGGATCCACAGACATCCATGGGTAGAGAGGAAAGCATGGGGACATTTGCGGCTGTTCAAAGACATATGGGGATGTATAGATGTGCATTGAGGTCCACTGGGATGCAACAGCAAAACATGGGGGCATGGAGGGGTAAATGGGTAGGTACATACAGGAATGTTCTTGTAAATGATCATCACCATCATCATGATCACACATCAATCATAATCTACCGTCATTGCCGCCACCAGAGCATCAGTAAGCCACTGAGCATCCATCATCCTTCAATGTATTAGTGTCATCACTGCATCATCTCTATATACGCTTGTTCGTCTGTCTGCAACGCACCGGGACAGAGGGAAAAAATAATTTGGCCCGGTGGGGAGCGGGGGGTTTAGGGGGGGATGTTATGACGTCACATCACGCTGGTGAGGTGGAGGGGCTGATGACCTCAGAGGCAATGGGGCTGTTGGGGAGAGGAGTACTGACGCCACGCAAGATTTGGGTGATGTTGTGAGGTTGGGGAGGAGGTATGACGTCACGGGACGTAGATGGTATATTGAACCGTGATCATCAAAGGCAGTGAGGAGAGGGCAGGAGTGATGACGTCACGCAACACTGACGTCACGTGAGATTGGGGTGCATTGGTGAGGAGAGCAGGTGACGTTATCAGACGCGGGGGGGGGGGGTGACGTCAGACTCGGGGTTCCTGCTAGGTATATCATTCATATTTGACACCGTTATTGGAAATGTTAATGGCAAAAAAATCTGAATCAACAAACGACCAATGTGTGGATGAAGAACACAAATAATTATCATCGGAATCTGAAATGTTATCATCGTCGTCGTCATCACCACCAAAACGAACCACACGCAACCCATTGTGAAATCACAACACATCTACAATGATTCGTGATTACCGAAAAGGAAGAAACGCACAATATTTTTTCAAAACACACATCTGTAGCATTGGGCATCATCAACACCACCACAAAAGGCACGTGTGTACGCTGAATACAGTGTGACTAATTGCAAACATACGGTGAGAATAATCTAAAGGGTAAAATACAGCACATACCACCAGCAAATGCTCCTTAGCCTCGCCACAAACATTCTTACCATCTACTCACTTCCGCCACCAGACTAGAAACTATTTTATATACAGCCCGTTGTAAATGCCCCCACCCCGCACGCCTCGTTAGTCGTTTGGGTTGATTGACCATACTTCACCAGGCTGGTCAGTAAGGGTTGTTAGCCATTGGTGGGAATCGAACTCTGGTGGCCAGGTTCACATTGGCAGTGCACTAACCACTGCACCACCGCTCTACCATTAGTCTCACCCTATATATATTTGTTTATCTTACCAGATAAACCCCAGAAGTCATAGCTCTTTTTCAGAAGAGACCTGGCCACAAATGATAGCTCAACGAAGTGGCTTATCACGTGGGAATGTATAGCAACCAAATATTGAACTCTAAACAGCGCGTTGATTCTAAATGTGTAGGGAAAAACCGGATGACCCAGAAAAAAACCCACGCGACCACGAGGATAAAACATGCAGACTCCAAATATACAACAGGCGTCAGGGGTCGGGATCGAACCCACCGACCCCCTGTGTACCACCAGGCGAGGGAGTCAACGTGTCACCACCGAACATTCCTCTCGAATGAATTGGCCAACAACACCAGACAGGGGCCCTCGTGAATTTGAGGTTTGAGACTCATTTCACTGGGTTTGCAATTAGGAGGAATGAATTCCATGCAAAAAAAAATGAAGAGTCATGTGCCAGTCCACTGCTAGATGCACGCCGTGTCGGCCTTTGGGGTTGCAGCACCATACGTCCACGCGCTGGTCAATGCCCAGCACATAAGCTCAGCAGCAGCCTATGGCACCTGTTATGCACAACTATCCAGAATCAATCCTGCTTGGCTTCCGAGATGTGACGAGATCAGCCGTATCCCGGATGATTTGGTCTTAGGTCAAAATGCACGTAACAGTTTACAATCCATAAATATTTCTCATATTGTGTTCCTAAACATTTAGCACTTATAAATGTCTTTTGAAAGGTGTGTAAACATTCTCGCTTGTCTTGGGTGGGATCATTACTAAAGGTGTAATTTATCCATCACGTAGACTTTCACAATAACCTTCATTAAAAGCATTGACGGTGATGAGCATTGGTTATGTGGAATTGATGGTGATGATGATGCTTCCAGGGATGATGGTGATGATTTATTTTGGTGGTGTTGATTGTGATGTTGCTAGTGATGAATTTGACGATGATACTGATGATGAAAACAATGATTGTGATTACTTTGCTAATGCAGCTGTTCATCGGAATAACAGTCGTGGCCACGATCGATGATGGTGGTGCTGCTGCCGCTGTGGTGATTCTAAGTGATGCTGCTGTAGAGAATGTTTTGCTCATGCGATAATATCCCTACTGATGCTTATATTGGTGATGTTGCTGATGATGGTGCTCATGCCAATAGTGATGATGCCGGCGATGTTGATGATGGTGGTATTGATGCTGAAGATGGTGATGGCTGTTGATTAGCATTCTGCTGGCGCTGATGACGATGCTTTGATAATCATGCTGATAGCATTATTGGAACGTTTCGTTATGCTACTGTACTTAGAATGATAATATTGTTCATACTGCTATTTCTGATGTTATGCTGCTGTTTCTCATGTTGATAATACTACCGATGAAGATGCTTCTGTTCCTGCAGGTAACAGCTGTTGACGACGACGATGATGAGCATCACGTTGACGCTTCTGCTGATAATGCTGCTTATGTAGGACACGTAACACAATGTGGACGATGTTTGTTCCTGATGCTGCTACTTCTGTGGATGATGTTGTTAATATTGTCACTCACTGCTGCTCATGAGCCTGCCGAAGATACAACTGCGTCTGCTGCTGATGATGAAGCTGCTGTTGTTTTTGTTGCTACCTACTTGCGATAACCGTGATTCTTCTTCCCCTACTGATGATAAAGTTAATGCTGCTGCATTTGAATATGCCGATTATGATCTTGTTACTGATATTAATAGCATTACTGTTGATGATAATCATGTTAATGCTGTTTGGAATATTAATGGCACTGTTGATAACAATGATGATGCTTCTGTCAGTGATGCTAATGTGTCCTAGCGTTATTGCTCAGTAGGTTGATTGTGCTGATGATTTCTTAAGCTCCTGTTGCTTGATGGCGATGATGCAGCTTGTGAAATTAGCACTACTTCTGAAGGTGATGATTCAGCTGCTGCTGCTGCAGCTAACAGTGGCAGACACGAAGCTACTTCTGATGTTGCTATTTGTTGTCCTTCCCCCGCACCTCCGATTAGCGCGCTTGGCTCTACGTACGGTGCGAAAGAAGTTCAACGCTGACATGTGACTGTAACGAGACTGTTGCGGGCGATGTTACTCGTGGCAATGACGACGCTTCTGTCCCTGCTCACGTTGATGGCGACGCTGCTGATGAGGCTTCTGCTTAATCTGCTGCTACTTCTGGCGCCGATGAAGCGTCTGATGGTGACGATTCTGCCGATTTTTGTCTGATGTCGCTGATAATGAGACCGACGATGACGACGACGACGATCCCTCAGTTGCTGTTGAATATGAAGCTACAGTTTATATTGCTGCCGATGATGGTGATGATGACAACGCCGGTGGTTAATGGAGCTTCTGCTGCGGATGGCGATGGTGTTGGTGCCTACTGCTGCTGCTGCTGCTATTGTTGTTGTTATTGTTGTTATTGTTGTGAGCTCTGGGCAGGTGTTGTGGGTGGGGGTAGGAGACCTGTGAGACCGCCTCCGTCGCCGTGGCCGCGTCGCCTCTGCATCAAGAAGTACGGGTTGGCGCGCTCCGTCACCCACAGCGCGTTTGCCAGCAGAACCTCCTCCGGCTTGAGCCACATCCTGGCGGCGAACCTCCTCGACGATCTCCCCCGCCCCCTTCCTACTCTTCTCACTTGCGGTTTATTTCGATGTTTTACACGGAGGGTTCATTAAAAAATCACCTCCTCCGTGGCCTCGTCTCGGCCTGACGAAGCCCTCCTACACTCATCAGCTGGTCTCAGAGAGGATGGGGAATCGATTCCCGTCGTTGCTTAAATCGAGAAGGCGATTCTTCGCATTGTCTCGCGATTAGCAATGGAATCGATTTCTCTCCAACGTGGAATCGATCGAGGTGATTCAGGTGTTTTGTTGGTGTGTGGAATGCGAATCGATTTGTTGTACTGTAATCGATGTCGATTCTTTCAATTGGTTGCAAAAATATTTGAACGCAATTTTCATTTGGTTTCGATTGGCAAGGCAGGAGATGGGGGCGATGTTGATCTCTCCTCGTCCGTCCATGCGCTCTCGAGGATTTGTTGCATCAGCGACAAGCCTTTGGGAAAGGCCTTCTTCCATAATGATAGTTGATGATCTATCCAGTGATGTATTGCAGTTTTTTTTGCGTTGTAAATATTTATGATTCAAGAAACACTTTTGAGAGTGACAAATCGATGAAACGGGCAAGGAATCGCGAGCTCGAATATTTTGGATGGGGCGGGCCGTCGGCAGGGGAAATGGAATCGATTCACAGAGTCGTGGATCGCTTCGTCTCAAGCGTTATCGTGGGCACTGTGCACCACCAGAGGAATCGATTCCTCTGCGAATATTGCGTGCTATCGATTATTATGCCACGAGTCCTGCAGGAATTGGGAATACCGAGGGCATGGTGGCACGCGCCACCACCTCACCTCCCCCCATCGTCATCGACCATGGTCAATCCACTGCTGGATGGAGACCTCGCCAAACCTGTGAATCACCACTCTCACGGACCTGCAATACCGCAAACCCATCCAGCTCCTACGGCGTGCTATCTTGGCGTGGTCTGGCACTGTTTGGTGTTTTTGCTGCCCTGCCCAAGCTTCATAATTCGGACTTATATTCTTTAAAGTATTATTTATTTTATATTTCGTGACTTATAATTTTCTCTATTTTGTGCGCCTATGTTTTGTATTGTTTGCTGTTGTAAATTGTATCACTGGACATCTGTGCAGTCAAAATAAAGATTCTGATTGTGACCAAATGAATTAATTGCTCCGTCTTCCTGGTGGCCATCCACCCCCGGCGTTCCCACCCTTGGCTGGCACTCCGCCTTGATAAGTATCAACACCCGGGTCATCTTCCCGCCGTAACAACATCGACATGTCTTCTTCTTGGTTCTTTCGGTAAAGTCACGTAGAAGCGAAGTAATAAAATAATAAAAATAAACATAATAAAATCAAATAATTCTCACGACGTTTCAGGTGAAGACGGCTGCTTGCGTTGTAGCCGAAACGTGATAATTATTTGATTTTATTATGTTTTATTTTTATTATTTTATTACTTCCCTTCTACGTGACTTTACCGAAAGAACCAAGAAGACGAATCCCTGCAGTCACGAAAGCTTTAAATCGAAATCGACATGTCTTGTTCAGGTTTCACTTTGGTGAGTTTCAGTGATGCCAATTCAGTTTGCATTTCATTTATTTGGTATCGCCCTGTGAGCCATTCGGCTCTTGAATCGGGTGCAACCGCTACAAACAAAAACATGAACAAGAAAACATCTTAAAGTGACTTATGGGCAAACAGAAAAAACCAAGAAAAAACTGCAAAGTCTTCCAGAAAAAAAGCACCGTACACCAACGCAGTGCAAAAATCCCAGTGGGATGCAAGTCAAACAACAACAACAAACACAAAACAACTTAGATTAAAGCCATCAGTCTAACTCCGTACTACAACAAACAACCAAAAAACTTTTCGAAATCACCAAAATAAAGCCATAAGCAATGTAACAGTGACCATAGGAACTGTGACCGAAATTTCACAATAAACTACATCAACAACATGTACTACCAAACCCTGTAGCTATAGCTGGCTGCATGAGTCACTCCACAACAGCAGGAGCATCAATAGGAGTATCAAAAAAATGCAAATGCACCTTTAAAGATCAGCACACTAAATCAAAACACAAGATCATACTTTGCAACGGTCATCCGGAGCGAAATATTTGATTAACCTTCGTGTTCTAACCCGCGTGTTCCTCGTTCTGTGTGCAGTAATTCCAAGCAATGTAGTTCCCTCCAGGTGTCTTGTGACCCCCATTTAATTCTCTAAAACATTTTTTTTACGTAAAGTTTATTTAAACGAGAAATGAATGTGACGGGAAACATGTTAGGGGTCAATTGGAGGCCACAAGATATCTGGACCACCGCTGTACACAATGGGAACAATAGCGTGTGAGGCTTCTCGATGTAGATTTTGAAGATTAAATGTTCAAGGGTATGTACACAATCCGCACGAGCATTGTTAGCTAAAGATAAACACTCGAGGAAAACTTCCCTAAATTTGTCTTTCCGTAAAAAACTTGCAAGGTGTTTTAAACAAGCCCATCGGCCACAGATAGCTCCTCATCAACAGCATGATGAAGCTATTACTATTAAACATTTTATTTTACGAGATGAGGCCCACTGAGCTATCCATTTTCAGCAGCTCTTTTTCAAAAGCGACATTGCCACAAATGATAGCTCAACGAAGTGGCATTATATCACGAGTAATTCACAGCAGTCAAATACTCCAAAAGCGTGTTTCAAAATGTGGAGAGAAAAACTGGAGGACCCGGAGAAAAATCCACACGACCATAGGGAGAACATGCAACCTACACATATACAGGGGTCAGGGTCGAAATCGAATCCACGAGTTTCCACGAGTTTGAACCAAACAGTTTCGACAGTGTCCCATCAGCGGTCAGGTTTGCTTGAACCAAATTGTGGCGAAGTGCCTGTTATATAGTATAGACATTTTAAACATGGACACTACTCTGTAAGATGGATCTGCAAGGAACTGATGCAAGATGGTATTTTAAAATTGTCTTTGTGTGGCTTATGTGCATATTCAGGGTGGTACAGATGTCTTGTGACCCCCCCCTCCCCCCATGAATTCTCGATAACTGAAACAATTTTTGAAGGTTTACTTAAAACAAAAATGAATCGGCAAAGGAAGAAAAATATGAGCAAAATCACTGAGGGTCACAAGACATCTGGAACACCGTGTGGAGCAAAACAACAGTAATTTGCCCATTGTACGTACACGCGTGAAATTAAATCGATTCAAGATTGTGGTGCAGTGGAATCGATTCCTCGATTCCGGGAATTGGAAATCGTTTTGTGAATCGCGATTCCCTGGCCGGTGGAATGATAACAAACATCGAAATGTAAACAAAAACCAAAGGATGAGAAGAAACCTTCCTGAATATCTTGCAATTCATTCTATATACAGTAGTGGACGCAACTTCTGAAAGAACGTAAAAACAAAGGATGGAATTAACTTCCTGAATATACTGTCCTGTGCAGGCTGGTCCAGATGTCTTGTGACCCCAAATGAATTGACCCACAATGTTTTCCCTTTGCATATTTCTGTTTTAAATAAACCTTTAATGATATTGAGTTTTACGTAATTAAATGGGGGGGGGGGGGCACAATACATCTGGGCCACCCTGTACGCATACAATAAAGGATGGAAGACGCATTATACGGAAGACGTTAATTCTTGAAAGCATTTTAACACGTGGGCTTTCGCGATCAATATTGATTATCGTTAAATATTTTTTTGGAAAAAGTGTTACTTTAAAGGATACGGGAACGCGATGTCTTGTTGCTTTGACCGTGCACATATAAACGGTACAACTGTTTAGGTTTTATTTTAGGACGGGTCAAAGCCCATTGGGCAATAATTTCCCATTTTGGATGGGCACCTGGTTACAGAAGCCTGGTTACAGCAAGCAAACACGAACAAAATGATCAATAAAAAACGGTGCAGGGTCAGGTTCCGAATAGCAAGGTCGTATATCAACATGGTACAAGCAGCACAAAAGAATAAAGGTTAACAACAACGCATTGGAAGCAAAAAAAAAACAACTTAAAAGTCTGCAAAGCAGAGCCATACATTTCACGTACATTTTAAAGAGAATCTGAGGTCCAAAAGTGATTTAAAGTAGGACAAGATGCTAATAATTACTGTCCCAATCTCTACACAAACACTGGCTTGTTTAACGTACAGAGGGGGGCCTTCGAACGTAAGTAGATTGCAAGGTGCAGCATGCACGTACACACAAACGCACACAGCTGTTCTCATGTTTAAATTAAGTAGCCTCATGGAGGCAGTATAATTAGATTTAGATCATTAAATGTGTGGGGGGGGGGGGGTCACAAGACATCTGGACCACCCGTGACAGAGTACACATCGTCTGGTGCTGCTGCATTGGCACAAAGTACAATTTTAAAAAACTCAACACGGTCATCAAATCACCACACCGTGGCCTTAAATAAAACAGACGTTTTGGGCCATGGCCCTTCGTCACACACTTCATAATCTGCGTTATGTTCAAGTCTTTAGGTTCATCTTCTTGGTTCTTTCGGTAAAGTCACGTAGAAGGGAAATAATAAAAATAAAACATAATAAAATACAATTCTCACGACGTTTCGGCCACAACTCAGGTGAAGAACAGGTCTGTCGGAAAGACAGCCTCCGAATGAACACCACCAAGCTTGGCAGCGTATATTTAAGCTGGGTTAGGGCGCCTTGACAAATTAGTTTACATATCAACAGAGGAATTTAGCATATTTGGAAAATGAAGATATGGGATTAGTCACTACTTGTGGAATGTGTAGGTGGTGGGGGGGGGGTCAGAGTCATATTATGCTCGTGTATTATGTAGGGTTTGTTTGCACACGATGTTTCTCGAGGAACGTTTTGTGTTATCCCACGCGAAAATAGGAACCCAAATAAAAGTATATATTTTTAATGGGTTAGATCGCGTAAACATAAATGTGTCGTTAAACTCGCCACCACCAGACACGGCCAACTAGTAAACAGAACATGCCAATTCGTCACTAGTACAGCACACCGGTGTTGGAGAGAAAACCCACAGCATTTACAATCCAAGTACGACGTTTCGCCAGTAATTACAACTAGCTTCATCAGGCGGGCAGCCAGATTTGTGTAGAAGTCTTCCTCCTGTTCGTTCCTTAGAGGGACAAATGTGATGGCATCACTTGTGAAACATTCACGTGCGAAGGACGAATACTTTTGAAGAATGTCAACAATTCTGTTGTGCTTGTGCACCACTAACAACCGCAGTATCACAAATGTGTTCGTGTCAAATATTATAAACGCAAACTCGTTGAGTTTCCGTGAGGCATGAAAACAAAAGGATACACGAAGCATACTCTTTGGTTCTTTCGGTAAAGTCACGTAGGTATAAAACAATAAATCATATTTATACCTACGTGACTTTACCGAAATAACCAAAGAGTATGGATTCTTGCAGTCACGAAAGCTTCAAATCTAGATACACGAAGCAGTGTTTTTGTGGGTCTCCACATTCAAATGTTTAAAGAGGCATGATTTGATCGTTAATATTTAACTATTTTTATTTGACCAGGTGAGGCCTTCTATGCTATTCAGCTTTTTTAGAAGCGACCTAGTCACAAATAGCTCAACGAAGTGGCTTCTCGTGTGCACATTTAAAGCCGAATGGCTCACAGGGCTATACCAAAATTAAAGCAACCAAATACTCTAAAACGCACGTTTCCAAATGTGGAGGGAAACCCCCACGCGACCACGGAGACGTGCAAACTCCAAATATACAGCAGGCGTCAGGGTCAGGGTCGAACTCTACGACCTCCTGTATACCTGGTGAGAGAATTAACATCTCGCCACCGGAGTTGCTTCAGACAGACCCACAACATCAAGGGTCCAGGAACCGCAATATGAAAATTGTAATAAGAGCGAACACGTTTCTTAAATTGGCAATGTTATTGTTATAAATATTCGAGCTTGGGAAAAGTTACTGAGAGGAATTAAAAATTCTAGATTTGAAGCTTTCGTGACTGCAAGGATTCATATTCGTAGGTTTTTTCGGTAAAGTCACGTAGGTAAAACACGTGGCTGTGACGGTTCCACCTGAAGACGGAAGCTTGTGTTGCCTCCGAAACGTCGTGATTTTTATTTTTATTAATTTTAATGTTTTACCTACGTGACTTTACCGAAAAAACCTAAGAATAGGAATTTAAAAGACGAACTATGCAGGACAACCACAAGCCAAACATTTTGGTGCACGTGGTGTGTGGTGAGGGCCATGGAAAGGCGGGGTTCCGGTGGATGTGGTGGGGGGCATGGAGGGAGGGGTTCCGGTGGGGGGCAGAGAGAGGCGGGGTTCCGGTGGATGTGGTGTAGTGGGGGGCATGGAGGGAGGGGTTCCGGTAGATGTGGTGGGGGGCACGGAGAGGCGGGGTTCCGGTGGAATATGGTGTAGGGGGTGGGGCATAGAGGGCGGGTTTCCGGTAATAGTGGGGGGGGGGGGCATGGAGGGGCGGGGTTCCGGTGAATATGGTGTAGTGGGGGGGCATGGAGGGGCGGGTTTCCGGTGTAGTGGGGGGGGGGGCATGGAGGGGCGGGGTTCCGGTGAATATGGTGTAGGGGGGGGCATGGAGGGGCGGGTTTCCGGTGTAGTGGGGGGGGGGGGCATGGAGGCGCTGGCTTCCGGTGAATATGGTGTAGTGGGGGGCATGGAGGGGCGGGTTTCCGGTGTAGTGGGGGGGGGGGGCATGGAGGCGCTGGCTTCCGGTGAATATGGTGTAGTGGGGGGCATGGAGGGGCGGGTTTCCGGTGTAGTGGGGGGGGGGCATGGAGGCGCTGGCTTCCGGTGAATATGGTGTAGTGGGGGGCATGGAGGGGCGGGTTTCCGGAGTAGTGGGTGGCATGGAGGGGCGGGGTTCCGGTGTAGTGGGGGGGGGGTGGCATGGAGGGGCGGGGTTCCAGTGTAGTGGGGGGGTATGGAGGGGCGGGGTTCCGGTGTAGTGGGGGGGCATGGAGGGGCGGGTTTCCGGTGTAGTGGGGGGGTGGCATGGAGGGGCGGGTTTCCGGTGTAGTGGGGGGGGGCATGGAGGGGCGGGGTTCCGGTGTAGTGGGGGGGTGGCATGGAGGGGCGGGTTTCCGGTGTAGTGGGGGGGGTGGCATGGAGGGGCGGGTTTCCGGTGTAGTGGGGGGGGGTGGCATGGAGGGGCGGGTTTCCGGTGTAGTGGGGGGGGCATGGAGGGGCGGGGTTCCGGTGTAGTGGGGGGGTGGCATGGAGGGGCGGGTTTCCGGTGTAGTGGGGGGGGTGGCATGGAGGGGCGGGTTTCCGGTGTAGTGGGGGGGGGTGGCATGGAGGGGCGGGTTTCCGGTGTAGTGGGGGGGGCATGGAGGGGCGGGGTTCCGGTGTAGTGGGGGGGCATGGAGGGGCGGGTTTCCGGTGTAGTGGGGGGGGCATGGAGGGGCGGGGTTCCGGTGTAGTGGGGGGGCATGGAGGGGCGGGGTTCCGGTGTAGTGGGGGGGCATGGAGGGGCGGGGTTCCGGCGTGTGGGGGCCGTGTGAAGATGGCGGACGGCGTGGACCATATAGACATCTACGCCGACGTCGGGGAGGAGTTTAACCAGGTGCGGCTTGCTCGTGCGCTCCTCGCGTTCACTCTCCCCACGTTCCCCCTCGCTCTTCGCGGGATCGCCTCCAACCAGCCCTCACCCACCCACCCCCGGGGTGAAGGGGAGCGAGATTGTGGGCGGTGGGCAGAGCGCGGCGAGGGAGTATGAGGGGAGGATTGTGAGCGGCAGGAGGAGGAGGAGGGGAGCAGGCGGGCTGGGCCCCGTGTCGGCCATCTTAGTCCCACACAAAGACGGCGTCGTCGTCTCCTCTCTCCTCTCCTCGTCCTCCTCTGCGTGGGTCTCCGCGATGTTCTCCGTGTGTCCGCGAGGCCCTCTCGTCCCCCGCTCGCTCCGTGTCCCGAGTGTCGTCTTCACGGCGGCGCGGGTGTCCTGGTGCTCCGTGTCAATGTTATGGACCCTGTGGGGGTCACCCGCCTCCCCCCCTGGCTCCTGACTTAGGCACCTTGCGTCTGTAGATTCGCTCAGGCCACGCCGTGTGTGTGCTATGTAATGTTTGCGTGCGTTCCTGTGTGTAGTTTAATTGTGGATGTCGGTCGGTGTGTTTCGTCTCATGAGCGTCTTTGCCGGAGCATGTTCAGCTGTGTGACTGTGCATTTTGGAGTCCGTGTTTGTATTTGTCTCGCTGTGTATCGGGGCTGTCGCCACGACACTTGGCACAAATGGATCATCGATAGTCGGGTTTGTACCAAGGCTTGAATTGCCAGGACTTGTGGACTGTTCTCAATGTGTATGCTGGTTGACATGGGACGTTTATCAACGAGGGAGGGGGGCAAATTTACCAGCGCGTCCCAAGCTTTGGAGTGACAAATACTGCTGCAGCCAATCCGCATCCGTTGTGCACGGCGATGGTGGCCGCAGCGTAAATGTATGTCAGAGTTTGGAGGAGGGGGAGGTGGGGATAATAATGCCATGGGCAGCGACTGTAGCACAGCTTTTCAGAGCCGCTGCATTAACCACGACCATTGTCAGTCAAGTCAGTAGCAAGCCTCGACTCCCTGCTCCTCCTCATAGTCTTCTAGAATCTCCCCGGCTGCCAGAATAAGAAGAAGCCCTTACAGCGTTGCCGGCCGCAGTGCCCCCCCACCTCCGCCGCCTTCACGGTTCTCCAGTGAACGCACGAAGCATCACTGTTGCGTTCGTCTCTTCTTCTCCCCGCAGGAGCAGGAGTACAGCGGCCACGACAACGTTGACCTTTACGACGACGTGATCGTCCCGACCGCGAGCAACGGCGAGGAGGCAGACGAGGCTGACTTCCAGGACTCTCTGACCCCGCTCGACCAGCCGGGGAAACACACCACCACCGTCGCCCTTGCCGGGGACCGCCGTCTAGGCTATATCTATAACGGCAAGCGCGTGGCTCTGTATGTAGGCAATCTCACCTGGGTGAGTTTGATGGCTGTGAGCGCAAAAAAATACCACCCTTCTTTGCGTTTGCACCGCCCTTTTGTAACTAACTAACACTGGCCGGTCCATCTGTGTTGAACCTGAACTTTTCGTGATCGGTTGAAGTGCACTTTATTTTCTCTTTCTCTCCCTTGTGTGTTGTAGGGAAACGCACCGGGGTTTTGTTGTGTTTTTTTAATCTGCATGCGAGTAAGCCACTCGAATGTTAACAGAGTGTAATGAACGCGCCTTCTCTCTCTCTCAGGCGTTGATAACGAGAGGGCCCCTTCTTAAGTAGTTGAAGAGGGGTTCTCTCGTATGGATAGGTTCGCTCTTGCTTTGGGAGTATGGAGGTTACAACTACTGACGAAAGGGCTGAGTCATTATATAAACATGCCCCATTGCTTCTTTTTGGGCATGAGAAGACTTGCAACAATGCGACCTAAAAATTAGTACGCGGACATATATTTGAATTTACATGGCTTTTACGGTGATGTTTACAAATTGGTTGTATGAAAGCTATTTTATTAACACTCTTTGCAGTTTCACAAATAATTTCTCGGCGTTTGATTTTAGATCGCTTTATGCAACCATATGCACACTGTCGCATTGAGACGTGAATATTGTAATGTTTCATGTGTAATGTAGCAGTATACATAATACTGTCATGTTAAGATTATCGTGTAAATGTTTCTATTTGGAAACACTCGTGCTTGATTCACCAAAAGTTCAGGTCTCAAGTTATTTTGTAAATAAGTATTTGTTATTACAATATAATAGTGCAATGTTAATTTAAATATACTTTACACGAAATGTGTTTTTGCAATATATGCTGGTCACAAGGTACCATATTCTGGGATTCAATTTTTTTTATATAAGAATGTGAACATATCCTTAAAAATTGTTTGTGCTGTTATCATGACCAAAACATGTATAAGATTAATACTTGCTAAACTCCATCAAATATTTTAATGTCCATCAATTACAAGTGAACCAAGCTGAAACATTGTGATGTTTAAATGACATGGCACAATCATGCGGTCCTTGCGAAAAGTGTTCATGTTAATCTAAGCCTTGGATCACTGGTTTATGTACAAACGATTTGCGCAGAAACTCAGTATTTACGTGGTAATTGCCATTTCCCTTTGCTAGCCCTGCTCGGACCCTGCTCTTAGAATGTTCACCAAAGGCCCTCTCACTTTCTGATATGCGGTTCAACAAATGCAACTCAAATTTAGCTGATGCATTATTTGGTGGCTGAACATCTGGGCGTTTTTGTTTAAAGGGAGTAAGTTAATGGTGTGATTCCCGCTACAGCGGCCAAAAATGCTTTCCAGGGAATTGCCAAAGTGTGCAATCTGCTGTAAAGTAGATACTAAACAGCTTATGGTGGCGTTTGCTCATAACATTAAGCTGTTTTCCAAATGATGCAAATGTACAATTTAATCTTAAACTGTAATCATTTGTAAAAAAAAAGAAATGTTTTGCACATCTCCCAAACAAAGAGCAAAACCCCAATGTTCACTCATCGTTGTTGAAGCAATGACTGCTACATTGCAGTTGATATTCTTCGTAGCCGAGCAGGACCATCAAAGCTGGAGCTCGTGCTCAGAGAGCCACTATTTATGTGAGAGGAGTGCTGTGAGAATGCTTTGCTACCTTATGTTGTGTTCGAATGCTTCATGACATGACGCAGCGCAGTTTACAGAGCTTATCGGGTTCACTCGTGCTTGTTTACAGGGCCGTTTCTGTTTCACTTTCAAGGATGGGGCTGGGCATATGTAACAACAAAGCAGTGCGTAGCTGTACCGATGACTGCACAGTTTTACCGACCTAAGCTTGGTTGTAGTTGGTATTGCATCATTAATTGGTGGCTATTCATGCTGTATGTATTTTTCTGCTGTAACAGTTTTTATTACCGTGTTTATGGGATCCTGGTATGGTGTAATGGGAAACACGCTGGACTTGCAAACCAGGGTTGCGGGTTCCTCTTGGCGTGGAAATTAAAACAGTGGGCAAGGTTCTTAAAACTCAACTGCCTCTGTCCACCCAGCAGTATAAATGGGTACACCATAGTCGATCACCAGGTCATGTGGTGCCAACATCGAAGAGTAGGATAAATACCCTTGGGTGAAGGCCCTTCTGCCAGTAGTGGTATGAGTGAGCAATTTCAGGGATGCACCTTTACTTTTTTTTACTTTTACTCTGTGCGAGTGGCTTTGGCCAACAGAGCAGTGTGTAATCATTTATTTGTTGTGGATGGGTTTCTATGTTGCATGTTCACAACAGTAAACCGTGGTGCCAAGTGTTCTCTATGCGATGTGTCACGGTTTCTATATTGAGAATAAGGTTCTGTATTAGAAGGGTCAATTTAACTTGCCTAGAGAGGAGTGTGGTGTTTCTAATACTTGGTTAAAAGAGATTACCTGTATCGTTATGGTTCAAGGATTCTGTATTGGTAGACGATAATGCTCTTGAAATGGTCAAACGCCAGCAGCATGAAGAGATAATGGTTCTATATGGGTGCAATGTCAGGTTCTGTATTTAATGCCCAAGCTACGGCACCCAAACAATACGAGTTCTCGATCTGATGGGTAAAGAATTAGGTAATGATGTTAACGAAGGCTCCATGTTATACGGCTTAAATATTCCATGATGAGTGGTAAAACTCAAGGCATCACAACAGTGAGTTTTTTTCTGCTTGTGTTGCATCGAGAGTTGAGTGTTGCAAGAGATTAATGTTCTGTGTAGGAGCGTTAAGCGATTCTTGATCAGATAGTCAAACTGTCACATGAACGCAACAAGGGTTCCAAATCAACATGGTTGTGGTCACCTGCGATGTGGCTATATTCTCAACTGAAAACATTTGAAAGGATAATGTGCTTAGGTCAACATTGACCAATACCCACTGGTAAAATCATTAGAACGCTAGACCAGATCAACTTGCTTTTGTCTTTAAGCTGTGTTTCCGTTGCGTGGATTTTCTCTTGTTAAATTGGACAAGCATAAGTCACAAATTATACAGAAAAACAAGGCAACTTAGTTCCGTAGTTTATGTTAAGTGTCCAAGTTGCCTGTTTTGCATAGCAGCATGCGTAGAAGCAGGGACTTGTAGATAAGTTGGTGAAATTCAGGGGCACACATTACAGCTGTTGACCTTATGGAGTGGGCATTTTTTTGTAGCATCTCTGTACCTTTATACATTACTGTAATTTAACCATTTATTTTATGTATGTGTGTAATGTGTATCAGACCAATGTACAATCATAAGGACCGGGTTCACAACGTGTTTGGGAAGTTGGGATCAACTCAGCCCATCGTCCCTCCAGTGGCAGTGTTGTGGCCAGGAGATAACCGCAACGAATGAAATCCAACTGTAGCCTTGAGCGTTATACCCACGTATGGGAGGTTTACCTGTCGTAACGTTGCAGGACCCTTCTAAATTAGAGTACTTAGACTCGGCAATGCTTTCCTTGAGCAAGGGCATGATTGTTGTAACACTGCTTATCATTTTCCGAGATTGACTACCGTCGAAATGTAGAATTTCCACTGCTGGCCCAAGGGCCATGAATGGGCATGAGTGCTACTCGTTTACTGTAATGGGGTGACATGTTTACTGGTTTACAGGTTTACGTACGTGTATTTGTATGATGTCTTGGAGCCGTCTTGCAGTGTATATAGTTGAATCGTGAGTGTATAACGGCTGCAGCATTGGTGCCCTCGGCCATTCACCACAACCAATTGCCAAGCGATCTCATTTTTTTCCTCGCTCACAACAGCGTGCCCGATCCCTGACACCTGCGGCTGTTTGCAAACCGACTTGAACATGCTGTATCACTTACGGACTGATGACACTCAAATGTAGAGTGTGGCAGTGACTTGTTAGAATTTAAAATAACTTTTCGGTGCTCTTGCGCACACGCCAAAGCTGCATATGTAGTGTTTGGACACCACATGAACCACTCGTCCTTGAAAGTTTCCGCACTGCCACGCGCACGCCCTTAAAATGGAAGCTTTATCGAAGAGACACTTTGAAAGAAAATCCGTGCAATATATATCTGTTGTAAGTAATATTACTTTGATATCATGTTTTAATAAGACATGCAGGACATTGATTATTTAAGTTATTCTAAATGTTTGCTTTTGAAAGTGCAAGTTTTGAATTTATATGCTGCAAATGAAAGTTATTCATGTGCAGAGTAAATATTACTTTTCTGATCGGTGCACATCTTCACAGCACTTGTGTTTTGGCGTAAAACCTGCAGATTGTCAATGAGGTCATCATCAGCCGTGATCAGTCCACTGTTTGGATGAAGCCTTTCCCAAGCTGCTGCTACCTGAAATATTTAAAGATTTACTAAATTGTATCCTGCAGTGCACATTGACAAAAACCACCGCATGCTTAAAACGACAAACCCTGTAAGAAATGTGTAAACGTGTATTTGTCTTCCCAAATAGAGTCCTTTAAGCAAACCAAAACGAGCTTTTCAAGAGCGGACTCTTTTGTGTGCGCGAGTGAGAATGTTACAGTGAGTTGAGCGCCTGCGTACGTCACACTCCACTCACAGGGGACGCCGTGGCTGTGGGGCCAGAGTTTAGTACCCATCTGTGTGCCGTGTTGGTTTGGAGGAATCCGGGGATTGGTGGGGAATGGACGTGACTATTCATTCCATGAATTGTCACAATTTGGGGTCACATTTTGACCATTTGTATTGTCTGTCTCGTTCCGTCCCATTTGTTCCAGTTGATAAAAAATTTCGGACATAATTAGTTAGTCATGTCATGGTCAACCCCTCGTAATTTAGCTAATTTCCGAAATTAAGGTTCACTTAAATTTAAGGATCTGTTTTGGTCTTGTTTGTTTTGTATGTCTTGTACTGTTCTGTCACATATCTTCCTTTAGCCCAATATAACGTTTGTACATAATTATCTAGGCATGTAACGATTCACTGCGTATCGATTCAGTGAATTGTCACATTTCACGGTCACTTCCATTCAAGAATATAATTTTGTCCCATTTATATCGCTATGTGCGCAGCCGACTTTCGGCAAGTATGGCCAAATGCTGTGTGAGGGTGACAAGCACGTGGATGTGTGAACGTTGAGCAGAGGGGTGGCAAACCATGTGGGATCCGCGAGCCCATGTTGAGTTTCTCTCTCCCACAGTGGACAACCGACGAGGACCTCGTGAATGCCCTGCAAGCGATTGGCGTCACCGACATTCAAGAGATCAAGTTCTATGAGAACAGAGCCAACGGACAGTCTAAAGGGTAGGACGTCAGACTGTGAGTGGAGAGCCATCGCCAAGCACTACCGTGGCCCGGCATCCTTTATTTTTAATACATTTTTCGTATCTTTTCTAGTTTTATTCCAACTGCTTTTAGTGTCATGTAATGAGAAATGTTCTCCAAGTATCGGTAAAAAGCCAAATTAAATAAGATTGCTTATTCAGGCATTGATGGCTGATGGCATCAGCTTGCTGCATTTGACAAGCCACTAATCTCGGGTGGCTGAAACCCATATTTGACCCCAGGACCTTGACGTTACCTGCTCATTGCCTCTCAGCCACTCAGACCTGTGGCATTGTGGGGCTACACTTTGCCGTTGAGACTCGACAAAACCAGGTTGGAGGCTAATTCATTTAATACATTAATGCTGCTGGAAAAGACTTAATCTGGAAATAAAAATGTTAGGACAGATCTTCGAGGTCACGTGTCGATTGCGCAACAGCTGCGGGAGCTGGCAGGGGGGGGGGGGTCGAAAGCATTGACGTGGTGTCATCAACGGCTTTGGCCATGATGACATCTTGAAAATGTAAGATGCTATAAAAAACGACTGCTTTTGAAGATACATGATCGTCTATCACCCTTGGAAAATTTCACCACTCGTTTATCATATAATCTACCATCTCCCATCAAATCATAGACTGCCTCTGTTTATGCTTTCCTCATTGGCTGTTTGCACTACAGAAACGGTTCAAGGTAAAAAATACTTAAGTTTACATTCATTGTTTTTACTCTTGAACACCCCAGCACCCAGTCAGGAACAGATCAGTAGGCGTTTCATGCAGCTTTAGTTAACATCTGCTAACCAACATTCCATCAGTGATCCCAGGGAATGTCCCACCTCAACAATTGACGACATTTAGTAGTGTCACGACTTTTCCATAGTCGTGGTTTTCATCATTGTACAAGTGAAAGATGAATGTTAAGCCAAACTGCAATTGTCAGGCTCCAATACAAGCAATGGAATGCATCATAAACGTCTACACCCATCCGCTCCTTTGACAGGGGGAATCTGATGAAACAATTACCATATTATATAAATTAGTAATTTTATATCATACACCGTCCGTGCAAATAGTATCTCGTACGCCAAACATGGCAAACCACATTGATGCAAAACATGATAGGCGATGCACCACAGACAACACAAACATGAACCATGTGAAGCCAACAATAAATAGTTAAGCTGTTGACATGGGTGAAAATCCAGAGAATAGTAATAACAATGATAATAAAAAGATTGCTTTGATACTGTCATTCCTGTCAATATCCCCTCTCAAACTCATAATCTTCAGTGCCCGAGTCATATCGGCTACCTACAGCTGATATGTACTAGGCCATCAATCGGAATCTCACCTTGTACCTAAAATTATAGACTCTGCAATTCAACCCCGTCAGCCGCACAGAACACGAGGGTTTGACTCTTGCCCAAGTCTCATGGTGATGCCTTGGCATAGCTTGAAGAAGCCATCGCTCTTTAAAGCAGATGTCGCCACCATACCTGATGGCAATAAGCTGCAGGCACCGCAGCCCAAATTGTAAATCAAAGGGGCTGCGTTGGCGGTGATGAACAAGCACGGACAAAATAATACCCACAAACACTGCCTCAGAGTCTGCAGCATTGGCTATGATCATTCAACTAATGCATGGTCCACCATAGGTATTGAAGTGTTGTTTGGCTCACAGGGAAAGGTTCCCCAGCCCGTTCATTTATCCAGGAAAGCCTCTCGAGTCTCAACGATATCAGTAGGCTCTCTGCTAGTTTTCGCAGTCGGTGTGCAATGTTTTTACATGTAATACCAATTGAGTAATTGGCATGTAATGTTGAGCATTGAGGTGTTTGGCCAGTATAAAAAAATTATTTTCACTGGAAAGAAAGCAGAGAGCCCGGAGGAAACTCATGTTAAGAGAACGGGGAGGGAATGTAGAAACTCCATGGAGAAAGGCAGCAGAGTCGGGAATCGAACCCATGTTCTTTATTGTGAGGCACAAGTTGTTACCACTGTGCCACCCAGAACTATATCAGTAAGCTGCGTATGGTCCTTCAGACACTCGTGACGGTTGGGTCACTTGAATGGCAGGGTATATTGTGTTTTTTAAGAGTCCCAACCGACCCAGATCCTGCTGCCCTCTCACCACCAGGTTTGCGTTGGTGAGCGTGAGCCTGGAGGCCTCGTACCGCAAGGTGATGGACCTTCTGCCCAAGCGCGAGCTCCACGGACAGAACCCCATCATCTCCCCGTGCAACCGCCAGTCTCTCAACCAACTCGAGATGCAGTCTCGTAAGACAGTCTCACAACGTGTCCCGCATCCATACCGCCACGCCACGTGTTTGCGCCCGATCCTTGCTGTGCCAGCACAGTAACGGCCCAAGGCTCTTTTGGTTAAATCATTCGGCCAACAATTAGAAGGTTGTCAGTTCAAATCCCAGTCACGATCACTTCTCACAATTTTCTGAAATAAATACTGGTTTGTGTGAATTTGACAATGGTCATCCTGTAGACCTACCGGCCCCCATCATAGGAATGTGGAATTTCCATTACTGACTTTGGACTGGCGAGAGAGAACGACCTGATACACTTTCAATTAGTGAGTTTATTTTGGTCAGTTTTACCACGGTGTATGAATTGCTGTTAACATCACTTAACTTTTAATCACCAGCGATGGCCCTGGAGATCGACTCATTCCTTGCCATAGGAATCTGGTGTTTCTATACCCATTAATCACTTGATGGGAAACCACTTCTCCATTCTCTTCAGTGACTACAACTCGCACGATTCACTTTCACCCAGTCCTTTTGGAATGTGGGATGTTCCTTTGCCTCCTTTTCTGCCCGCTCACCCTTACCCCCCCTCTCTCCTCCGGGAAAACAGGTGGGCCAAGTGGGCAGATGTCCGGGGAGGGCCGTGCTGGTCCCCCAGGCAGCGGCCCTCGCGGGTCTCCCTTCCCTCCCCCGCCCGTTGGGCCTGGCGGCGGTGGTGTGAGAGGCCGCTTTCCTTCGCCGGGCCCAGGTCCCGTTGGGCCCAACATGGACAGGCCATTCCCTGGTCACCCTGGGCCTCCTCCTGGAGGACCCCCGCCATTCCAAGGTGAGGGGGACGCAGGACTAAAACCACAACCATCATCGTTGTCAGCGTTAAAAATTACAGCGTGATGATCGTCATGTTTGTTGCTGTCGAGACTTAGCCCAGTGGTAACGCATTCGCTGCTTTTTCGAGGTTCATGGTTGAAATTTGGAAAGTCACCCTGGTTATTACTGCAGGTGTATTAACCGTAAATCTATACCTTCGCTTTATTGGACGTTAAAGATCTCTCGACGTTCAAAATGAGTAGGCCATTGTGTGCCAGCATCGTGGTCCAAATTTGCTAAATTACCTGCAATTTGCTCTTTGAAATAGACAGCAATCATCGCCCCCTACTGGCAGAATGTCTGCTTGCAAGGCCAGATGAGTCGTCTTGTATTGCAGAGGGACAGTTACCACCGACTGCCCTTCCAATGTTTGAGATGAGAAGTGATGCAAGCCACTTGTCGCACACACAGCACACACTTAAGATGCCCCAACATGAAGAGCGCTCTATCAAACCTATTGTTACAATTTTCACCAGAGTCATGATCATCGTCGTAATGATCATTGGTCATCTTTATAATTCATAAACTCAATTAAGATAATTTCTAGCATTGTCATCATCCTCTTGCGATTATACATACTAACATACACCTTCCATTAGCACTGTTGGCTACATACATACGGTGCGAAAGAAGTTCATACATACATTGCGATTATCAGGGTGGTTGGCATCCTTACAGGTCATCCTCAGCATTGTCCTCATCTTCGACATCATTGTAGGCTTCATCGTGGTCAGGATTGTCCCATCATAAACATAATCCTCAAAATCCTAATGATTTTCATCATATTCTTCCTAAATCTCATTGTGCTTATAATGACTGAGTGAAATTAAAACAATCCCGCTAATTTCTTATTATGAACAATGAACCCGGCCACCCAATTTCGATTCCTGGATATGGCTAACATTAGTGGAGAGTAATATCTGAACCGGTTTTGGCTCCCCCACCTCCTTGACCATTCTGCAATGACCCAGCATGGTGACTGACAAGAGAGTGGAGAAGCTTTCATCCAGCAGTGGATTGAAAAAGGGCTGTCAACTAAAATGAAACTATTATTTTTGATGTGAATGTATGCATGTGACTGAAACAGCTCTTCTACGTGCATTTTTGTGCCCCCACAGTGCAGGGCCCCCCCCGCGGGATGCCCCCTGGCCCTCCTGGACCCATCGGTCCCCCCATGCCCGTGCATGGCCCGCCTCCCATGGGCCTCGTGGGCCCCCCGCCTCGGGCCGACCGCCCCCCACCGCCCGTAGTCTTTCCCGGGCAGCCTTTCCCCCACCCAAATCACCCCCACCCTCACCAACACCCCCACCCCCTTCAGCACCCCCACCCTCACCAGCACCCCCACCCTCACCCACAGCAGTTCCACGGGGAGCCCCCCCGCGGGCTACCGCTCCCACTTCACCCCCATGGCGTACCCCCCATGGGCCCAGGGGGCTTCGGGCCAATGCCGCCTGGCCCCCCTCAACAGGGGCCCCCACCGCCACCCCCGCCCCACCCACACGGGCACCCTCACCAGCCTCCCCCAGGCCTCATGCCCCCCAGACCGGGACCTCCGTTGCCCCCGCCTCCCTCCTCATCGGCTCCCCCGGGGCACCCGCCGGGGCCGCCCCCCCACATGGGGCTGCTGCCCCCGCCGGGGCTGCCCCCTCCCGCGCCGCACGTCAACCCTGCCTTCTTCCCGCCCGGCAACCACAGCGGCGGTGGTGGCGGTGGTGGCGGCGGCGGTGGTGGTGGCGGTGGAGGTGCTGGGAACAACGTTGGGCCTCCCGGGGGTGACCCGAGAGGCCCCCCGCCCCCCGAGGGGTACGGGCAGCCCCCACAATTTGAGCGAGGAGATTTTCGCAAGCAAGAGTTTGGACGCACGCCCTCGCCATCGTAAGTCGCTCATGCATGCACACACGCACAGGGAGGGAGACACCACAGGGTGGGGGTGTTGGCTGCTGCCGATTTGCTTTCATTGTCAACGTTTGTGTGTACAGCCCCTTTGTCAGTCGTCTGCTTGGTGAGAGCCTCCTCAACACGCCTGTACTGGTCATAGGAGTTGCTTGACCAAACTTAACCATGCTGCTGCTCGGTGCGAGTTAGTGAAGGTTGGGAGCATTGACGTGAATGCGACTTCAGCAAGAGATCCTATTGATCATGCACATCATCGTTGTCCTCTTTGTCGTCATGATTGTCGTCTTCAACATGGGGCGCCACGGTGACGATATGTTAACTACTTGGCCTGGTATACACGAGGCCTTGAGTTCGAGATCCCAACCCTTGACGCCTGTTGTATACTTGGAGTTTGCATGTTCTCCCTGTGGTTGCGTGGATTTTTCTCCAGTTAAGCGCTTAACCAGTTGTGGTAGTTCAAACATTTACACCTTTTAGCTGTTCCAAGATGAGTTAAAATATAACCGTCGTGATGTTTGTCTTGTGAAATCATTGGGTGACGGCTTAGACTGTCCAAACGCTCTTGAGAACCCAGTTTAGTTGAGAACTCCGTTTATTTCCTACCAGGATCTTTGCAGTACCCTGCATCTCTCAAACCCTCCATATATCAAACTCTGCATATAAAGTCGTCACTAAATGTTTTGACACAACCATTTCTCCCTTATCATGCTTATCTGAGTAGGGAGATGCTTGAAACTCCATTAATTCGGTGATGTTACATAGGACGTAGGGGTGGAAAAGTGGCTCAGTGGTGAACACAGCGCCATGAACCCAGTGCTCTGCATTCGTTTCCCGGACACGGTTAACATTGGTGGAGAGTGTGATGTTTGCATCAGTCCTGGGCAATCCCCTACACCCCTCGGACCGCACAGCTGCCTCTCATTTTCAGTTTAACTATTTGGTTTACATTTTTTTTCTGTTGTCGATGTCATCGTAGTTTGGGGTACCGCTTTCACACGGAAATGGAGCCAGCGAACAACAGCCTGAGCGAGGTCGAGTTTGAGGAGATCATGAATCGCAACCGAGCCATCTCGAGCAGCGCGATCTCCCGCGCCGTGTCCGATGCCAGCGCAGGTGAGCCGTGAAGTGGTGACTGCATGGAAAACGGCTGAGGTTTTAAAACCTAATAATTGTAATGATGGTCATGTTTTGTGCAGGAGTAACACTTTTGTTAAGTTTCATATGAAGTCAAGCGCTTCAGGGAGATGTGTAGTGAATTTCAGAGATGTTTGATTGTGTTGGGCAGTGAATGATTTACATTTGGGATGGCATGTGCCACCAAATCCACATTTAACCTGCAACACTGGGGCATCATTTACGAGGCATGTAATGGTTAATTGATTAAAATGGATTCTTAGGATTGCCGTACATTAATAAAATGTTGCTTTTAAGCATGTCTTATTTACAGTAAGTCCAGAAATTATACGCTTTATATACCTTTGAACTTACAGATTAAACAATGCAAAAGAAATAAGATGGGGAATACAACTGATGAAATAAAAGTAGAAGAAAAAAATGTAATTCTTAAATTTAACCGCAGCTGAGTATTGTAGCAACCCGGTATTGTAACAATCTATTCGCAAATTAAACGAGTCTTACATTCATCAAATAATTTGTGTAAACATTTAATATTTATGAAAATGTATGCAGAGTTTCTCTTGGGTGAATGGCACGATAAACGCAACACAGATGGACATTATAGGCAAGACAAAGAGCACGAGAGCGGACAAGTGTACACACGTTTGAACGTGACGGCACACGCGCGCAATTAACAGCACACACAAGGCCACACTACTGAACACAAACACATCACAGCAGACATGACTGGCAGAACATACAGACAAGACAGTGCAGATGAAACAAAGTGTCGGCGAGACGGTACGGACGAGATGCAATGTGCATGAGATGGTACGGTACCAATGAGACATTGCCAACAAGACGGTACTGTCCAAACACGACCCGTACACACACAACGAACGGGACAGGTGAATTGCAAGATGGCACAATTCTTACCCCGAGTTGTGCCGATGCATTTAATTTCAGGAAAAGTGTGGTGGGGAGATGTTATCTCCCTCGCCTGGTTTACAGGACGTCATGGGTTAGATCCTGACCCTGAACCCTGTATATTTGGAGTTTGCATAATCTCCCTGTGGTCGTGTGAATTTTTTCTGAGTCCTCCAGTTTTTCCCTCCACATTTAGAATGAACATGCATTTAGAATGTCTGGCTGCTCTGAATATCCACGATAATCCACTTCGTTGAGCTATAATGTGTGGCCAGGTCGCTTATGAAAGGGAGCTGTATAGCTCAGTGGGCCTTACTGTGTAAAATAAATAAAAAAATAATAGTTTTTCCTTTCACGTTTCCTCCGTGCTGTAGGCGAGTACGGTAGCGCCATCGAGACCCTCGTCACGGCCATCTCGCTCATCAAGCAGTCGAAGGTGTCGAGCGACGAGCGCTGCAAGGTGCTCGTAAGCTCGCTGCAGGACTGCCTGCACGGCATCGAGTCCAAGTCGTATGGCTCCGGAGGGAGGTGAGGAATGGCGAGACTCTGAGATTGAGGGGGTGGCGGGGTGGCCGCCGCGCTTGGTTGGCCGGGGGGTGTGCTTCTTTTTCTTGTGTTAGGTATCACGGATCCATAATCAGATCTCACAAACGCACAGTTGTTTTAGCCGGCCCGTCGTTGCACCCGATTTCAAAAATATACATAATTGTGTGTGCGCGCAATAATGCCCGATGCCAGAAAATGTAAATAAAGTAATGGTGGTCACTGGAAAACTATAAATACAGAGGAAAAAGCAAAGAACAAATACAGTGCACCAACGAAGTATGTGGTGATAACACAAAATCTTAAGTTTTTTTCCCCCATCTTACTCTGCATGTGCGGTGGTGCGTCTATGAGTTAAACATTTTATACAGGGGGAAAAAAACCAAATTGCTTTTGCAGTCAGCCTTCCGTGCACGTACAGCATGCCCTCAGTCGCCCAATGGCAATGGCTGCTGCAAGAATAGCTCTGGTGCCTTGAATGGCAGATCTGTTTTTTAAAAACGCCACAGAGTAATTAATAATTCAATCGACTCGACTCAATTTCGACATGTGACAAATTCAAAACGCTTGATCTCTAAGTTAATACGCTGAATTTCATCTGTGTGGGTGTGTGTTGTCGTGTGGAATTGTGTGTGCTGCCTTGGGCGTGTGTGCGCCGTCTGGTATGGATAGTTTTGCGCCATTGCGTTGACATACCGTATATATGCTCTCGTACGCAGTGTTGCTTGTCTGCTGCTCTGTTTCCGAGCTTGTCGCTTCTGTCCGCCAACTGTGAAACACAAACTCGCAAGGTGGCTGGATGACTCCTGAGGCTATTTCCGTGTAAGACTGAACCATAACCAGTGAGAAATCAGAGTTCAAATCTGGGTTTCAGTCATCGGTGATTAAACTAGATTCCCAAGTTTAGCGAGGTCACCAGTTACATCAAAAAATAATTTGTTTGACTTTTGTTGAACACCTCCATAGGAGGCCACGTATGAAGAAGCACTACAAAGTGGGGGGGGGATAAGCAGCTACGAAGATACGGCGACACACGCACGTGTCAAAGGGTCTTCAAAAGTAGTTCTACGATGTCATATTCCAGATGACGTTTGATAGCACAATGCGGCACAATGCTTGCTGAGATCTTGCTGAATGCGAATGTGATTGTCCCCGTGACAACGTGATGCCAATAGCACAATCGCGTGTCACTTCGGTCGCTCGAGAGCAATTGAAATGTAAACGCTCGCTCGTTTCTCACTGTCGGTCGTCAGGAAACGCGAGAGGTCGCGTGAGCGCGATCACAGCCGTTCGCGAGAGAAGAGCCGGCGGCACAAAGAGCGATCGCGTAGCCGCGACCGGCACGAGGAGTACTACCGGGAGCGGAGCCGCGAGCGAGATCGCCACCGCGACCGCGACAGGGACCGTGAACGCGAGCGCGAGTACCGGCACCGCTGATGTACGGGCACGGCGCCACGGGGCGGCGGGGGGGCAAGGGGGGGGGATTGCAGCACCACATGGGTTCATGGGGGGAGTGGGGGGGGCAATTCGTTGGGTCACTGAGAAACGGTTGGGGGGCCTAATGCACACCCCGACTTGGGACGATATTTAGGCCACGCCACTGGTCTGCACGCATGGGGAATCGGTCGTGCGGTGTCTGTTAGCTAGAGCGTATCTGCTTCCACGTATCATGCGGAAGATTCCATCTCGTTCAGTAGGTTCCATCCAATCGCATTGCACCATCCCTTCTAGACAACTCCCATCTGTATATTGTTTTTAACTAATGAGCGAGCGTGAATTAATTTGTTCACCGAGCAGCTCTTCACAATGCATTATCGTTTGTAGGTGCTGCGTCGCCCCTCATTTCCCGGCCGTTCAGCACCAGCGATGGCAGCAGCAGTGGCGCCAAACAGCACCGAGCGTCAGCAATTGGCGCTCTTTCTTCTTCGTGCGCTCTTGCTCACGAGATCTGTTGTTGTAATAGTTATCCTCATGTTCTTTTGTGGTTATTTTCTTTCCTCCTCCCCGCTGTTGCGTATTGAGTAGAACTGCCCCTAGCACGGCTTAGAAGCATCTCGGCGTTGTCTCGTCGAAGCTGGGACAGTGGACGGGTGGAGAGAGCACATGAGCGAACCGTGCAGTGGGTGTCACGGTGAGATGCTTGCGACGGCGAGCAAAGGTTAACAAGCGGTCGTCGGTCGCCGCATGCAATCTCTTCTCGGTGCCGAGGATCACCAAGAGGGATTCCCTCCCCCCCCAGCCCCCCCCGACACAATGCGCTGCACTGCAGCGTCACGACGCAGCGTGTGGATGTCCCCCGCACGCAATTATCGGCTTCTCGTATGAAAACATTTATGCATCGTTCGCTGATTGTTGTGTTAATAATACGTTAACTCACTTTCAGGAATGTTTTGTGTCCTTTGGCTAGTCGTTGTACCCCGCTTCCATCCCTCCTCGACCCACTTTTCCCAGTAACGGCGAAGATTAGATTCCCACTTGTTAAATCCCGATTTCTATTCCCTTCCCATCGTAATCAAGGGCAGTTACGTAGTCTTTTGTTGAGTAGATACTGTTTTAATAATTGTATGGACTGACTTAGAATTAAAAAAGACTTGTTAAGTGTTTAAGTGTTGTCTCTTTAATGTGTGATAGAGGTTACTGATGAAATGTTGGAACGATATTGCCTGTGATTTATGTTTTTAGACAGGTGCTGTGCATGGTAACCAACGGTGCACTTTAATAATGCCTTAACAGACTTTAATGTTCGTTTTACAAACTAGCGAAGCAATATTTTCATTATGTAATGTCTATTTTGTAAGGTATATATGGCAATTGCATTATTAAGTGTGACCAAAAGCTTGCACAACACCTGTTTAAAAAGTTCTAATGCTTAATTTGGTGGCTGATGTAACGTAACAAATTTTTATTTTTGTATCATTTGATAAGGTTGTTCATTTTCTACCTCGTAATCGATGAGGTTGGCCTGCCCTCACTTGACCACCAACTCGTTTACACGGCCATTTGCTATGTCGCAGTGGGGACCAGGTGTCAGATTTTCTCGGATATTTGTACAATCCTCCCAACATATAAACAAGATCACTGTTAAAGAGGTTCAAAGCAAACCGCTCCTTTGTAACTGAGGTCACGGTTCTTAGTTTCTACCGGGTTTGTGATGAATCTCAATGAGTTATCACCTGGCTACACAAGGCACATTGCAATGCAATGGGCTCGTGCAGTGGTTCACACGGGACTTTAACAACCAGGAGGATTTGACTTGAATGTTTCACGAGGCCGTTATTTACAGTTTGCCTTCATTGGCCGAATGACTGAGCAGTTTAAAGCGATGGTCCACTTCCATGCATCGAAAATAACATGGCAGCCCATTACACTTGCCACTGAGTTGATGGTTTGATTCCCGCTGCAGCGTCTGTTATTGTTATTAAGTGTACACACTGCTACAAAGTAGATGTTAAAGACCCTGTTACATTAAGAGTAAAGCATCGTTTGCCTGTTTCATAGGCCAAATACTAGTGTTTAAAATTAGTAGGAACTTAATTTAAAAAATTAAGTCATTTTATAACTGATAACTACCTTAATTAAAATCCGAGGATTTTTTTCCATAAGGGATAGCGAAACTCGATGGTCTAACAGTTTCATATTCTTCTGCCGAAGATGGCGTTTATCTGAATTCTTCGAAAAAAATGTGTATTTTTGTTTTGATGTGTGGGGTGTGAGCCTCGTTAGCTTTTGGATGGCCAACCACGGGGGCTTGCCCGGTGCTGCAGGACACGTGGTTGCTGCGTGGTCGCCGTGAGATGGCAGAGTCGATTGTCACCCCGACCCTCATGACTGAGTTTTCTCTGGCTTCTGTTTCTGTATAATTGGCATTATATTACAGTTGCAAACAGGCGCCATCAGTCCAGAAGAAGTCTGTCACTGTTAAGGACTGTTAAGTGATAACTTTTTTCAAGTTGTGTCCGTTGAGGACGAAAGGTTTTCTCCCCTTTATGTGGTACCTTTTAAAAGGGGGTTAGACTCTTTAAAAGGGGCATGCGTGCATCGAGCACACGAGATGGCACAAGCACGTTTCTCGTTTTGTGAGTCCCGATGGGCAATGTGTTTCTGAGCGTCATCTGTACTGAATACCTCTGCACTGGCAGTTGTGTCATGGGGGTGCCGGAGAGACCCTTTGCTGCCCACGGTTTCGCAAGTGCCGACGTGCCGAAGCTTAAATGTGAACATCGCGTGCGACTAAATTACAAAACATAAGTGACCTCATCTAACTACATAAAAAAACTCAGGCTCGCAACATGGTCATGTTTTGCAGATCATTACGGTTGAATGCCTTTCCGGGCATAAGTTTACCAGCAGCAATTTTTCAAGTAGGTAAAAACTGCACAGGTTTCAACATTTTGGGTCTCGTCAGCAGACCAAGGCTTGTTAAATATACTGCCGGGTTGCAATACATTGGTAAGAGCGCTCCCTCTTACAAATGGGGCTCTGTTTTGGATGATAGTAAATACTGTATAAACACACTGCGTTCTTATGGAGGATTGAGTGCGCACAAAAGGTTTATTTCCCCTCGCTTTTAAAGGAAGACATAACGCAAAAAACTGTTCTTGTTGGACCGACGTGTACTTATTTTGTGTTGCTGACCATTACGCGTGACTTTGAAGCTTTGTCAATGACAAAGAAGACTTCAAGTGGCAATACGGAGCTGGTCGATCACATGGCAGGAGTGACGGAACTGTTACGGCTGTCACTGCAGTGTCACCGTCGTTCTTACGCCAGTGGTAGTCCTCGAACGTGTGTTATGTCATTGTCTTAAGTCACGGTAAAGTCTTTGTTCTCATTCACTAAATGTCACGGGTCGGAATGCCTAGGAGGGACAGCCTCGGTGTGCGTCTGCAAGATGAGCCGATTGCTTTTTTGGTTTTTCTTTAATTGCGAGCTATTTTTTTAAAGTAATGTTTAACAAAGTTTGTGGACATTGGAACATTACCCCCTTCCAGTTGGCTTAATTGAAAAGAGGGCAAATTGATATACTTTTTAAGCAACTGATTAATCCTGTTTTCAAGTTTTTCAAACTACGGTTACTCCCATTGTTTTTTTTATAAGTGAGGCTTGAATTTCGTCATTTTCGGTGGGCCTTATTGAGGTATGTCGAATATAAATGGTGCCGTTTTAATCAGATTGATTTTCCTAAAACGATGTGTATAAAGTTGCAGCATGCAGTTATTTCGCTCTGTCGATGGCAACACGATTCGGCCGTTTGGTTTTTTGAGGGTTTAAATCCCGTTGGTATATTAGTGACCTCATCCTATCATCCCTCCAGGGTTGCTAAACAAGGTACATCTTTGTGGGATGTTAGCAGAAGTGGCCGTCCTATAGAGAGAACCGGCTCCCACCATGGTTGTATGGAAATGCATTGCTCATTTGGACTGGGAGATCGTTAAAGTTTGATTGTTTTCGATTTAAAGCTTTCGTGACTGCAGGGATTCATCTTCTTGGTTCTGTCGGTAAAGTCACGTAGAAGGGAAATAATAAAAGACTAAAAATCAAACAATATAAAATATGTTTAAAAATAAAGCAATAAAATATGGTTGTATTATTATTTTATTATTTCCCTTCTACGTGACTTTAACGAAAGAACCAAGAAAATTAGTTTTATTGATGTAAGGATGGAAAGAAAATAACTGCATGACGTTTTTTGTAAAGCATTCTCACGTTCTGATAGTTCAAATAATTCACATTGCATTATTTAGAGTCTCACTTATATAAGCGTCTGTTACAGACTGTGTACTGTACATATTGCATGTTTATGTGTTAAAGTGTATATATATGTATATACACTAGGTGCTGGCAAACATAATTTGCCCCATAACTCTTAAGGCTTTACAGGGGTATGTGTATATTTGGTACACACATCTGTGTTCACTGGGTTTCCAATTAGTCAAGAACGTTTCTCAAATTGATCATTCCTTTAAATGCACTGCGTGCTAAATGCATATATTAGGGTATAAATAATTGTCAATGTAAGTTTGATATTCTTCCACGATTTACTGTGCATTTTTTGTATTCGCCTTATCGCTAACGTAAGAAACACCTTGACCAAAATAACTGAAGAAATTCAGTTTAACACGTGATTCGTTGTAAATTTTGCTCCCGTAGGAGCAGTTCCCGGTCGACCTGTTCTAACGTAGCCACCAACAAATGTGCTTTTAAAACGTTTTGACCATTTAACACCGCGAGTGTTCGCATTGCACAGGATGTGTGTATTGGTTGCGTGCGTAGGTGATGGGCGTGGAATTTCACTGGTCAATTGCGATTTGGACGTCAAGTTTTCCTATCCACTCCGCCAACTCGGCATGTATAAAACATCTGCCACCAGTCCACCCATCGGAAAATTCGGAGAAATTATTTGTTATTAAACTCCAATCATAGACAATTTTAGCAAGTGTGTGTGTGTAAAGATGCGAGTGTCTAACTGTCGTCGGTAATTTGCATTGATATGCATTGCTATGCATGTGATGGAGGTGAGCGTTTGTGACCGTGTTTGTGAGTTAGTAGTGTGTGCGCGCATACATATCTGTGGGTGTTTTAGAATTAATTTTAATTAAGGATACCATCGTAATGTTGGATTTCAACTTTGGACAGATCCGGTGGAAATTATTGCTAATGTTTTGGTATATTTGGGTCTATGCATGTCAGTTCTCAATTCGCCAAATCAATATTCCACGCCCATCGCTCATTAACGTGTGTGCACCGAATGGAATGTGTGCGCTGCACAAGTGCAATCTGCCTGCTTGAACAAGTGATGCTTGGTTACAGTGACCTCTGACCTGAACGTGGAGCCATGCAAGTGAAACTGTACAGATGTGTTTTATAAACTATGATCGCACCCCTTTGTCTTAAATGTGCCAGGCAGGAATTGTAGGGTTTTTTCCCCATCTCCTTGTCTTCTGAAACCGTCAGAGCTCATAAGGTCTTGTTTAATGTTGTGATGTAAAATAAGTTTGTAAAGTAATGCAAATATTTGAAGTAATATTAATATCGGAGATCCTTTGAGCCATTTCAGTTTACTTTGCGAATACACAACTGACATGTACTGCTTTGCACAGCTTCCAATGTAACAGCCAATGGCGCATTAAGAGGCGGAGTGTATGCCGGTATAAAATTAAGTGTCTGACAATTCTACAAAGTGGATTTGCCGACCGTTCAAGAGGCCTGAATTCTGAAAACTTTCATCGATATTTTAATGTTCAACTGTGCCGATGTCTCGGTACTCCCAAAAAATACCTTTGATAATCGTGAATGGCAAGTGCAACAATCGTCGGAACAACTTTAATGGTTTGTGTGGTCGTGATGTACAAGTGGAGTGACGTCGCTCGGATGGGGTGTAAGGGGTTTGTGTGTTCTGCGATTTGCTGAAGCTCTCGCTGGTTTTTCCCGTTACAGGAGGGGAAGTGTTTTTGGTCGTGAATGGTTTAATCCACCCCCCAAGTGTTGTATTGAGAGAGTTCGTTTCCAGATGCCGAGTCGGCACTAGAGGTTCTGCCATTTAGGCACACGTGGTGAGTTAAATTGGTCTTGGTGCAGTCGCCTATAATGCCCCATCATTA